AGCTTCAGCTTTCAAAGTAAATATCAAGTCGTTAGTTTTACCATCAGTTCAAGCCTGAAAGGGCAACAGAGTCGCGTGACAGACACAGTGATGATGCAGTACACAAGCCGCGGTTAAGACAGCTGACGTGCTATGGTTTCTGACAGGCAGTTCACTCTCCTGTGATGTGACCCTGTTCCCCTCACACACACACACACACACACACCGCTGCTCAAAACTCCGCATTTGAACAGTCAATAGCAAATACTTAAACTAGTAACAAAACATACGTACAGTCGCCAGATTGTCATAGCAAAGTCAGAATTGACCCTTTTTTTTAATCTTTTTTTTATTTTTAGAAATAGCATTTGTGCACCGTCAGCTTTGTACTCTTCTAGGTAAAAAAAAAACTGTCGTCCATAAAATGCGTTGCACAAATTCGAACATCTGGGTTGTGCTGTTCTGTTGTAAATAAATCTTAACCAATGATTCCTAATTGCATCTACTTCCGGAAGGCCAAATAAAGTGCTCTTGCTTTCGCACTGAAACACAGCGTCTCCCTGACATGCTGCTTCAACACTACCGCTGTTCCTGAAACCACGCCTTCTTTCTTTGCGTGCACATTTGGGCGGCATGTAGATAAGTGGGGACATGTTAGAACGAGCCGTTTTAGGTAGGCGTGGCTGACTCTTAACTTTCATAAAGAATATCTCTTTGGATTTGAGACTTTAGTCTTTGCAACTTTACAGATCTTCTTTATGCACCAAGAGCTTGTAACACTCCAAAGAGAAAGGAAAACTTTAAATCGCATCATATGACCCCTTTAACACCCGGTCATGCATGAAAAAAAAAAATACCGTCATGTACCGTGAAACCGGTATAATTTAGAAAAATACAGTGATATAAATTTTTTATCATACCGCCCAGCACTAGTTACAAATATAGATTTTAATAATCAAGGAATGTGTAAGCATTCAGTAATCAACAGTAATTAAATTAAATCGAGTATTAAATAATATTAAATTATTAAATTGTTGAATTATTTTGCAACATCTTCAAATCCAGATTAATATTTATTCTTTATAAAGTGATCTCAACCAGCCTAAAGCAACTAATAAATGGTTAAATCTCATGAAAACTGTAAAACACTAAATTTATTTGTAAATAAATACAGTAAATGCTGGAATAACACACAGTGATTAAGAGATGTGTAACTTCCATATTAGCCTGGTTCCGTCAACATTGAACTGGCTCCCTATTAAACAGTGCTGATTACTTATAAAGTCTTAAATTATTGGTGTCTCAGTACTGCTATTGCATTAAAATCCTTCATGTGGAAGGATGATGCATGATGTTGCATATTAAGCATTACTTTAAATATTGGTACTTTTGAATCTTTAAACACATCTGCCTCCACACTAAAACTGTTTGATAATGCACTTTTGTGAATATGGCTGTTTAAATAATCTAATCAATGTCTTTTCTAATGTATATATTAATTTATTGTTTAATAATAAAATCAAAAGGCTTGATTTTACTCTACATTTATAAAAATAATATTTAGTGTAAATTTAAATAATATTAGTCCATTGTCTCTGTAAGTCAAAAAGCATCTTGAGATATAATGCAGTTCCACGGGGTATTCAGCTTGAAAGCCTCTTGAGGAAGACATATAGATATCATATAGATTTCATGAAATACAATTTCTCATATTGTGGTCATATTGCCCACCCGTCCTGAATTTCACCATGAGAAATATGCATATATATGCAGCGATATGCATATACGTCACCCTGGACAACAAAACCAGTCTTAAGTCGCTGGGGTATATTTGTAGCAATAGCCAACAATACATTGCATGGGTCTTTTATGCCAAAAATCATAAGAATATTAAGTAAAGATCATGTTCCATGAAAATGTTTTGTAAATTTCCTACTGTAAATATATCAAAACATAATTTTTGATTAGTAATATGCATTGCTAAGAACTTCATATGGACAACTTTAAAGGTGATTTTCTCAATATTTAGATTTTTTTGCACCCTCAGATTCCAGATTTTCAAATAGTTGTATCTCAGCCAAATATTGTCAGATCCTAACAAACTATACACCAATGGAAAGGTTATTTATTCACCCTTATGACTGGTTTTGTGGTCCAGGGTCACGGATAGAAAATAATGGTCCTAAAGTAGGCCTCAAATTTTTACATTAAAAATCAGATTTTTGTGGAGAAACTTGACTTGGACATGTTTTCATGAGATTCACCCATTCACTACACCTCACAGCATTAAACAAGAGGAGAGTTTTCATGCTGTGTTTCAAGGAAAAAAACTGTGAAATTAGCAAAGTCGGCGATAAAACTTATCTTATTCTGTTTGAGCAGATACAAAAAACTCCTTTCACAGGGATACTTACGTCATTCTGTCCAGCTTTCTTCCAACTTATATCGAAGGACACAGAATTATAAAACGGATGCAGCTGATCTACTTTACTTGATTCACTGGGTACAGAGATGCTGATATTCAGACAGTGTCCACAGCCAGACAGAAATATAATGGGTGGACCTATGATTGCTAAAAAATAAATAAATACATACAATGAAATCCATTTTATAAGATGAAAAAACTACAGCAGATCTTGACAGACCTGCACATGCAAACTGACTAAGAAAACATGACTCCGTAAATGTATTAACTGTAAAACTATCTTCACGTCACAAACAACACATAGATATTCAAGTACTTACTGTCTTCATATGGTGTAATGCTTTTATTAACTATCGATGATGTCATGTTGTCAATCGATGCCCAAAGAAAGAATGTGCAGAATGTATAGATGTCTTTAAATGTTTCAGAGACATCTACTGTCATATTTCTTACGTTCAGTCGCAGACGTTGAGGTTTTCTGGAAGAACAGCTATAAAAATAATAAATCAATAGTCTCATTAGTAAGATGGTCATAACATCATAAAAATGTTGAAAAAATGTTTGACATTTTGCATTTGCACTAGGAGAAACTTCTTCAAATTTGTGTGATACTGACAAAAGGAGAGTTGTCTTTTACAGTTAGTGGGTTCAGGAAGCATTCACACCATTAAAAATGTCTGAGTGAGCTTTGCTTTATGTGGACTGTGGAATTTTAGCTTCAACCTTCCAAACTGAATGGAGAGCACTGGTGGAAAGTGACATCTGGATTCTAATCTAAAATACTGAACTTTCTCTTAGGTCCTGCTGGAAAATGAATCATGACACTAAATCCTAGATCTCTGGCACTCAGAAACAACGACTCTTCAAGGACACTACTATATTTTGGCTCTATCCATGTTGCAAACCCTGAGCATAATGTTGCCCCTAGGGGTGCACAATATAATAAAATAAAATCAATATTGTAATATGCCTTGTTGCAATGATCAAATCACAAAGGCTGGAATTTAAATAAATAAAAGCACTGTGGGTTTCACAGTGAACTGTGAGCCACACTGTGTTCATTTATAGATGTGCGACTCATGATACAATGTTGAGCATCTCATTGCAGCTCAGTTCATTTACTGTGAAACAAGCCACTCTGAGTAGATGCCTGGTTAGCAAACAAACTAGGGCTGGACGATATGGCCAAGATTTATATCACGATATATTTCTTAATTTCGGCCGATACGATATAATTCCGATATCGATATGAACACTATTAAAAAAGCCTCATAAAAACGGCCAAGAACGGCCACAACAGATGTCTGTACCTACAAACTTATGAAAAATGTATTTGCCAACTTTATGAAACCTACTCCTATAAAACTATATAATATTTTAGGAATAAAATGGCACAAATAAATAAATGTTCACCTTTAATTGGTATTTAGCCTTCATACAAACAAGAAATGTGAAATCACTGTCAAATAAATCTCACTCTCCTTATTAATATTAATATTTTTTACTTCAAACTATAGGCTAACATACCAGTCAAGTTAGCCCAGATTTTTAATGTTTTTTAATGAATTCTCTTCTGTTCACCAAGCCTGCATTTATTTGATCCAAAATACAGCTAATTCAGAAAACAAAAAAAGAGCAACAACAAAAGCATGTTGCTGGAAATGGGTTTATTATTGAAAATGCGAACTGATTGTCTGCCAGCAGGAGGCGCTGTGAGAGCGGTGGAACTAGCGGTTTCTTCAGTAATGGTTGTAAACAAAGCAGCTCCGCTCATGAACGCTACTTTATCAGATAAAAATGCCATCTAAACTATTCTGAAAACAGTCGGTTCCCATAAGAGATACATTCATATAAAACACCCGCGACGCATTTTGATTTTGAAACGTGCAGTGCTCATGTTTATTCAACGAAGTCAAACGCCACAAATAAATCAATGTATAGGAAACACTGGTAATGTATATCGAAATATCGGAAATGTGTTTAAAAATCATATCACCGTTATTGAAAAAAATTTATATTGCGATACATATTGATATTGAATTATTGTCCAGCCCTAAAACAAACTAATTCTCAACCAGTGCTTTTCTGAATTGTTTCAAAGAATTTGCATCTCAGGTTAGCATTTCTTGAGTCAACAGTGCACTCAACAGAACCGGTCTCTTACAGACAGGTTCATGATGCTGAGAACCAATGATTGAGCTGATACGAAGAGCACGAGTGTAAGTTTGACTGATGGGGCGACATGTAATGTTCTAATGCATGTAAGTACAATTGCAGAAATAAATAAATTAAATAGAAAATATGTTTGTTTATGTCTTCATTGTATGGGACAAATTAATTACCTGAAAGAAAAAGTTAATTGCAGGCAATTAAAGAAAACACTACACTGTCATTTGTGTCAAATCAACCAAATTGCAGACTTATGTGGCTCACTTTTCAGGGGTTCATGAAATCACGTTATTGGGTCAATATCAACCCTATTGGGTCATTCAGTGTCAACTCAACTAAAGGCCCCCCGACTCAAATTTTTGATTTTGCCAATATTTTTTCTGAAGAAAGATGAACATGTATAGTGATGAAAGCCAGAATATTAAATGTCATGGGTGAATATTTACGGAGTAATCCACTGTTTTGTAGAGGGGGGTCAAAATGGCCATTTTCACCTGAGATTCAGAGCCAATTTACAGGGGGGTAAAAATGACTTCAGAAAGATGGCAGCATCATAAAGTTACTTTTACACAGAGATTGGTAGGTTTGTTAGTAAAATCGGTTGACTTTAGCAGTCTTTGTTCCTTTATGTTTCAATGGTGACCATTCAAAATTGGGGAAAGAGCACTTTTCAAATTTTTTCTCCAAAGTTTGCAGGCCTGTAACTCAAAAAGTATTAAAGATATATGAACTATTCAAAATGTCAGTATTTACTGTTTGTCTCCAAGATCTGCCTAAAGTAAGCATCTGCGATGTCCATCTTATAGTTGATGCCTGGTCACCTGCTCCAACACGTACGTGGGGCAAAGGATTCAAGCTCTAAGCCTACATATTTGCACATTAACAACTAGTTTAATCCAATGTGTTGTGCTGGCAGCTAGCATTTTTTGTGATAATTGCATTATCAGCTGTATTAACTTTCTCCCCTTTCCCCCTTCTAATAAAGATCAGGGCACATGTGAAGTCATTGTGCTACAGGTCCATGAGGAAAGCTGAGAAACTTTACAGTTCGAGTGTATGGTAAAGCTAGATTGATAAGCCAACAATTATAAGCTTGTTACTTTAATAACCCGGCGTTTCTAATGCTCCCGGGGGTTTTGCTAAGGTAATTCATTTTTAATATAACTCTTAAATTAGTATATAATGAAAAGAGTGACTAAAATTGGCAGGTGAGTTTACCTTTCTGGTCCCCATTCGGGTTACTGTATGCGTTTTTGTTCATGTTATAAGCTTGTTACTTATTATAACCCGGTTATAATAAGTAACAAGCTTATGACTTATAAAACCTAATGTTTTCACTCAGGTGGTTAACGGACTCATTTTCCACAGCTGCATTCTCTGGTTTCTCTAATTGTTTCACTCATCCACTTTAACTCCCCTGTGTATGTATGTGTAAGTGTGTATGTTTGATAGAATAGTTTGTGTTAGTGTTTAGTTAATGGATTAGTTGGTGCACAAATTACATGAGTTTCTGGTTCTATCACTGCTTGTGGATAATGTCACCTTAACAATTCCTGATCTTGCTACATGCTCTAATAGTACTATAAGAAAGTTATTTACTATGGCCACGAAAATATCATTTCTTAGAGTTGATATGAAATTACACTGAATGCAACTCAAGCAACAGGAAGCGGTTACCAGCTCTTCAGACCACAGACCCAAGAGACACCTGACACCTGATATTTTTAGAGACACATTTCATTTCATTTCATTACATCTGCACATGCAGACCAACGTGCTGTACAATCAACATTAAAATACATAAAATACAATAAAACAAACAAGATAACCCAACTTGTGTATCAAATAGTGTAGCCAAATGATATACAAGTTGGGTTATCTTGCATTACAACTAATGAAAATAGATTTTGTTCAACGCAAACCTTAAAAATGTTTACAGTTATGATTCACGTGGCAGGCCATTCCAGAGCCCCGGACTGGCAACAGCAAAGGCTTGATCCCTTTATAACTTAGGAGCTTATTAGTTGATCTTAAAGACCTAGATGTTTGGTGAAATGTGATGAGCACAGACACATATGCAAGAGGCAATCTATGCACTGCTTTAAAAACAGTGCCATCTGAGTGAGGAGAATAGGAGACATATAGAGAAAATCAAGTTTCTTTACACTCACAAGCAGCCAGTCCACCACATTCCTGAATTAACTGCAAGGGTGAAAAAAAATGCCTGAGAGGACCCCACACAAAGAACATTACAATAGTCTAAAGAGACAAAATAAAGGCATTTATAACCTTCTCTAGATCTTCAGTCAAAAGAATTGACTTTAATCGAGCAAGATGTCTGATCCGGGGGAAAAAAATCTGCTCTTAACCACAGCATGATCTGCTTGTCGAATCTCACTTCCCGGTTAAACACAACCCCAAGATTACTTATTTGGGTGTGAAGTTAGGCTGACCATAGATCAAAATAATTAACAATTAGGGCTGTCGCGATTCGTCGATTTTATTAGACTATTCGATTTTTAAAAATCCTCGACTTCATTTTGCTTGGGTCGACTAACCGGCAAAATACCGGAAGTGGCGCATTTCACAGACGAGAATCCATAAAACACATTATTAGACTGTTTCCCAAGGTTGCATGATATATTAAACCCATTTAAAAATAATAATTAAGCATAATTGTGAATTCACAAATGCTACGATTTAATTAAATAATTATATGCAATGCAGTTCTAATACAGTATATGTGCTTTAATTATTTACATGCGTGTAGGTTAAGTACGTGCGTCACACAGCGGCTCCATTCACAGTAGTTCCACAGGAACTGTTATCATTTACATGTGTGGAGCGACTCAAACTCCATCTCTGCATGTTGTTGTGAGTTTGGGTTTATTATAACGTTCATCTGGGAACGCAACGTGCGCCATTTCATCAGATTTGTAAGGTAAATCATTTATAATTCTACACAAACACAGGAGAATATATCGAGGTTTCAAAATAAAAGCTCAAACCCTCACTCTGAGTTTACACGTTTTGATGGCCACATATTATTTTAATTACAGTGGCTATACCATTTCTGTCCTAAAGAAATGGCCAAATATTAAAGATTAAGTGACCATTTGAATTAAATGGTGCTTGGTTAATATTAAGCAAGTATTAGATCGCACATCAATGTGTAAAAATAATAATCAGGCCTTTGGCGCCCTCTGGAGGCCTTTGTTGTAATATGTAATATTAGCTCTACTGTTTATAATACATTATGCATTTTAACAGTTTTGTTCAATAAAACCATATGATTTCTTGCTTTTGATACTTTATTTGAACTCATTATTGCCTCATTGCTATTATATATGTACTTTAAGTATTTAAGGCTATTGTTCACTTACATCTATTTTTATTACCACAAAAAAATTAATTATAATTATAGGGCCCTATGAAATCCATTTTATTTTTTATTATCTGTTTAATTTTCATTTTTCTATCCTCTGTTTTAATGGTTAAATTAAATTGTATTAATCAAAAAGCCTGTCTAATTAATTGAGTTTTTCAGTTTTATCTTTACCAAACTCTGTTTTCTATTATTTTCTTGATTTCATTTGAATGGTTCCATTAAATGATAATAATCAAAAGCATCTCCAATTAATTGATTTTATAAAAAAAAAATATATATATTTCCCCCCCCCTCAGAAATACTGCACACTTACATTTTCTCCTAAATAAATTCTGGTAAATAACGTTTCTGGTAAATACTCCTTTAAAACGTGTTTTTTGATTATAATTTTATTTTTAGTAGACTAGAACACGTGGATATGTTGTCATTTTTACACTATAATACTGAACTTTGATTTCAGTGATTTGGACTATGAGATGGACACTTGCTTCTTGCACTTTATGCTGCACTTTACTTTTGCTTTAAAAAAAGGATTTCATAGAAATTTGGATTTTATTTGGTTTAATAAAATATAGTTTAACAAAATATTCTTAAGTAAAATTGTTGATTTTTGTGGGAAATTAATCGTTTAGATGAATCGATAATTAAGTCGATAGATTAATCAAAATAAAAATAATCGTTAGTGGCAGCCCCAGTAACAATACCTTGTGGCTGGCCCCAAAATCATAATGTCTGTCTTTCTTTCAGACGAATCCAGTCAGAGTTATATTAAAAATGGTCTTTGATCTTTCAAGCTGTTTCATGGCACTCAGCGGGTGTTGCATGCATCAATCCAAAAGCACTTAATTAAAATGCGCCCATCCATAAAAAAAAAAGTGTCTCACACGGCTCCGGGGGGTGAACAAAGGCCTTCTGTAGCGAATTGATGCGTTTTTGTAAGAAAAATATCCATATTCAAAACGTAATAATCACTTTAATGTAGCTTGCACCAAAAGTTGTACACGGGAAGCAGTTCCGGGCGGATGACGTTTGAGGTCAGCGCTGCGCATGCACCAGTGAATTATGAGTGAGTCTTGTGAAAACCAACGTCTGTTAATAGGAGCAAAGTTTCCTTACTTTAGCAAAGGAAAACCAGTCTCTTTTGGCTTATATCGAAATCCTCCAACATTCTTCTTTACAAATCCTCGTTTTGTACTTCTAATTAGTGACCATTGTTTTGTTTCGATCTCTCCCCTGCGCTTCTGCATGCATCACTTAGGAGTGCATGCACAAAGCCGACCTCCATATGTCATCTGCCACTACTTCCAGTGTATAATGTTTTTTATGGATGGGCGCATTTTAATTAAGTGCTTTTGGACAGATGCATGCAACACCCGCTGAGTGCCATGAAACAGCTTGAAAGATCAAAGACAATTTTTAACATAACTCCGACTGTATTCGTCTGAAAGAAGAAAGTCATATACACCTAGGATGACTTGAGGGTGAGTAATTTATGGGCTAATTTTAATTTTTGGGTGAACTAACACTAACCTCTTTCAGACATGCCAAAAGTGACCTAAAAACACAATTCTCTAGGGATGCACGATATATACACCATATCGGTATCGGCCGATAAATGCACATTTGTTCTGTTATCGGTATCAGCCTGATAAGAAAATTTGGCTGATATCTTAAAGCCGATAAATAATGCATTATTTCCTACAGAGACACTTCAGATGCATGCTGTTCGCCATGATGGTTTTGAAATGCTTGAAATATAACTTGAATCACATCGAAAAGGACAATACACTTAAGTGCAACGTGTGCTTTTATGTGGCTTTTAATGATGAGAACTTTTTTGTAATCAGGCTCTCAAAAAGTATATAAAAACTTGGATATAGATTTATCGGTCAACATATCGGTTATCGTATCGGCCAAAATTTTCATATCGGTGCATCCCTAAAATTCTCTCTTGATTTCAAAGGGAGGTACATTTTATTTTAATTTTTTTACGTATCAATGGCACAAGTATGTAAATAAACAAGAAACAAACATTGAGTCTTAAAAAAACCTTTTGTGTGTGGAACTACATTCTTTCACTAGTTTGAAATCTCACACTGGCAGTTTAACAGCTGAGCTCAAGCCTCCGTTACCAATTCAAAAATGTCACTTTAGAGTTGCTTCATTGAAGTTAAAAGATTATTGTATTATGTGCAGCAGTGCTTCCAACCCGTTTTTTTCCCACGGCACAGTTTTGATAGGTAAAATATCTCATGGCACACCACTAAGCATTGAAATATATGCTCACACTTAAAGGCAGGGTAGGTGATTTAGTTCAAAAACATTTTTTTTTGTTATGCTGGTTGAAAGTCACTTCGCATCCCGATAGCAATCACTAAGTTAAGTGGTCTAAATTTATTTATATGTATTTATATTATCTGCGGAAGGCATAGGACCATAAAATGGTCAGCCGATCAAAATGTTTGGTCAGAACATTACGACAGGATGTCCTGCCTGCCTGTCAACATATGTATTTGTCCTTTGCTGTGTTTGCGCAGATATAATACGCTACATTGCCAAAAGTATTGGGACACCCCCCTTCTAATGAACAGGTTTGACTACTTTAGTAATTTCCATTAGAAATCTTTGTTTAAGCATATAATGATATTCTAGGGACTTGTGTGCTTCTAATTTTATACCAACAGTTTGGACAGGACCTTGTTCTATTATAAAATGACAATGCATCTGTGTATAAGGCAGGGTTCAAAAAGAAATGACTTGACTGGTCTGCATAAAGCAAAGTCCTAGCAAGCTAAGTCCAGCTGAACACATCCAGTGTGACTTTGGCAGACCTTGAGCCAAAAACTCATCACCACACACCAATGACTTGTACATATGGGTAGAGTCATTTTAGACACGTCCTAAACTTTTGCAACAGAGATGGAAATACAATTTTAAATACATGAATTATGTTTCCATCTTTGTTGCCACAGTTTTAGAAGTGCCTTTTTCTGTTCTAAAGAAGTGTGTGTGGGGGTGCATGTATAAGCCAAGTTGGTGACTGGTGAGTTTTTGGCTCAACCTCTGCATTTAAAGTCACACCAGAGGTGTTCAGCTGTGATTAGGACTAGCTTTCTGCAGACCAGTCAAGTTCTTCCACTGATTGAATCAATAATTTCTTTTTGAACCTTGCCTTATACACAGAGGCATTGTCATGTTAGAATAGAACAGGGTCCTGTCCAAACTGTTGCTATAAAATTAGAAGTACACAATTCCCTAGAATATCATTATATGCTTTTAATTTGTACTCATGGAAATTACTAAAGTAGTCAAACCTGTTCACTTTTGGCAATATAGTGTACATCATGAGCGCATTCCAGCGAGAATGAAAGGCGTTATTACTGTAATAGGTGCTCTGTACTGTAATGATTTCTCACCTGTGAATGAGACATGAGGTAATCTGACAGCACTGCATTCAATCCTCCACCAACGCTGTCTCTCATCATATTGCAGGTTAGTCTCTAGTCTGCCTGAGAGCGTTCGTGTGTTTTGGAGGAGGCATAGCTTTGCAAAGTGATTATGCAGGAGGGTGTGAGCTTATTCTTTCAAAGCTAGCTTGTAGGAATGTAACAATATCAAAATCTCGCAACACAATAATATTGGGATATGAAGTCTACGATACGATATTTATTGTGATATTTTAAAAAAAGACATATGAAGAATTGGGGGAAAAAAGTACATTTTAAAGTTAAATTATTCTATCTAATGCAATTTGAGAGTTGAAAATTAAGAGCTCCAACCCATGTTCTTAACTAAGAAAACTTAAGTCAGAAAAGTCAGTGAATTGATTTGTACCTGAACTTTAAAGCGGACTCAACCCTCTTTTTATAAATTACATTCACACTGGTGTTTTAGGAAGCCAAACAAATTAGAACATAATAAAAATAACAACAACAACATTAATAGCCATATATTGTAAAACAATTGCACTGTAAAATAAATAAAAATTTCATATGTATATTATTTTTGCTTTACATTACAGTAGGGAAATTACAATACTTCTTTCCTAATTTTTACACTTGAAAGAGATTATTTGAATTTGGACTACATTTAAACCGTTAGCTGTCAGAAATTCACACTGCACTTTTAAGCTTTTATTTTGACGGAAACGGCAGTACAGCTTTTATTCTGAAGGAATAATAGTTCAGTGAAAATATGCTTACAAAAATATCCCTACAAATCTAGTGAAATGCTATAATCATCTGCTGCAAAAATAAAGCCTAACTGGTGGCTGTTGCGTACCCAAACACGCGCTAAACTCACAGCACGTGCGATAAACGAGTTAATTGTATTAATTCAGTGTGAACAGTGCCGTTCTCAGGTGCGGAAAACACCGGATCACTAGCCGATTCAATCCGTGTATCATTCGATCATTCGTTTTTTTATTTAATATTGAAAGTAGAAAAATTAGAAAACGGCTCCTTTTTCGTTTTTTTCCAAAAAACGGAAAATGAGAATTCAGCTTAAATTTTCGTTTTTCGTTCATGGGTGGAAAAATGAATAAACAGCTTGAATATTCGAATTCTACACATGGGCAGGAATTAAACGCCCCTTTCTGCTGATTGGTCAGCCGAAGATCAAACCGTGCCAGACTTATGAATAGCTCAACACGACTCATACCTGGGCAGAGTCTAGACAGGGCTTTCTTCTGTGTAGATATAAATTCTATTCTTTGCATCAGCTGGGCATGGCAGGGTATGATATGACAGCTGTCATAGCCTACCCTGCTCACCCAGTAAGTCTGTTTGTTTGTTTAATTAAGAAATTAAAAATATTTTTTCAAAATAAATATTTTAAACACTAAGACAAAAAGGAAAGAATAATAAATTGGCTTGGGTATATATAGGCCTATGTTCATGCAAGAACTGTCATTCTGACTGACAACCCGAGAACAATAGATATTAAATAGCCTACTTTTAGAGTTATGTAATGTTGTCTTGTGTTTTATTAAAATTGATTATAATTGATATCTCTAAAGCTGCTGCGCACTCGCACCGCAATGCAAGATTTTCATAAAATATAATAACTTGCCATTTCGGTTTGTTTCTCACCAAACCATCAGTATACATTCAGAATGCTTGGAATATACACCACGAGATGCATAGGATTATTTTACGACAGATATACATCTGATTCACAAAAAAAAAAAAATAATGTCACCATTCTCTGCCATTAAATTGGCAAGTGCGAGCAGGACATTTTTGTGTTATTAAGTAATAAGCCTTTAGAACAACATTAAGGTGAGTAGTCACTCTAGTTCACACAGTTCCAATAAATTGCGATGGGTTAAATAAACTCAAAAAGGAGACAAATGCAACTACAGTCAAGCGCAGAAGTGCACAGGAAATAAGCAGCAGTCATATTTAAAGCAGTTTAAATTAATATTGAGTACTGATTGATGTTCACTTGGATTTTTTTCCCCATCGAGGGGAAATAACTTAATACTCTTGTCATTTATAGTCATATGGCCAAATTTATATTTTTAATTGTGTAACGTTATAAAGTGACCTGATTGATGTTCACTTGGATTTTTTCCCCATGGAGGAGAAATAACTTAATGCTCTGTCATTTATAGTCATATGGTCAAATTTATATTTTTAATTGTGTAACGTTATAAAGTGACTTACTTTCAATATTAAATCAAAAAACGAATGATCGAATGATACACGGATTCGATCACCTCAACAATGTGTGCACTTCAATTTGAAATGCTCAGCACAAAACAGACTTGATGAAAGGATTATGCCATACTGTGCTTTCGGTTTTAGTTCATTTGACAGATACTGTGCCAAAGCATAAAATGGCCCAAAACACAACTTTAAAGACCTTTTTATGTTAGAATAAGAAGTTTAAAAATATTTTAAAGGGGTGGTTGACAGCTTTTTTCTAGGCTTGATTGTGTTTATGGGGTGCAGTCTAACATGTGTTAATGCTTCACATTATTTTTTATTATTTATATTATTTTTCACATAATTCACCTTTATTCTACACCACTCTGTCCCTTCTCCTATAAATGCTCTGATGATTTCCTGGTTTTATGAAGCCCCTCTCTCTGAAATACGCAATGGGCTCAGATTGGTTAGCTGGCCCAGTGTGTTGTGATTGGCTAAACCGCCTAGTGCACATCCATTAGTGTCTCATACTTTTAGACACGCTGTTATTTGTAAATGCTACTGCTTCGGTTAGCTTCTAATATAAGGTTTTATCCTGATTAAAGCTTTTTTATACAGCAGAATACATGATTGCATTGTAGCATTTTTGTAACAGTAAGAAGTGTTTGCCAGCAAGTATTGCTTGCTACCACGGCAACCGTGTGCGCATCCATGTGTAACGCCCCTCTTAGCTATGTGAAAAATATCTGTCTGTCTATACACAAAGTGTATAATTGGAACACAGTTCATTGGTGGAGCTGAGCTGATGATATGAGACAGAGAGAGAGAGAGAGAGAGAGAGAGACAAAGAGAGATAGAGAGAGACAGATGCAGAGCATGTGCGGAGGGGGACGCGAGGAACAAGATTAAGAACCGCTGCTTTAGAACACTGATTTTGAAACTTGTGAATCCATTAGAATCGTTTGAAGACAGAATCACAATTCATATATAGATTTTTTTCATACACCCCTAGTTTTGACGGCGTGGCAACAACTCTTCCTCTTCTCTAAAGCAGCGCAACATGACCCCGCCCCTTTTGTTGCATGTTCCCAGGGGCGGGGTTTATGTAAATTTCTGGGTTTGTGATGTCACCAACCCAGGAAGTAGCTCGTTGTAGTCCCTACGAGTCTTTTTTTAGGCATTAAACTATCATAATTTTAAAAGACAATATCTCAGTTTGCATTGAACTTTCAGCGTCATAACTTTGCAGATATTGCTTATGCTTAAACAGCAACGTTACATACTAACTAAAGTTGAAAAATGAAATCACAATCAACCACCCCTTCAAAAACCACTTTTTGCCCAGAAGAACTATCATTTCATATTGTCATGTGACCACGATAATATCGAGAGCTTGTTATCGCTAGCCTTTCCGAAATTGCCTACACTACTTCAAACATTTTATGAATATCATACTCAAATGGAGTTAACAAGGTTTTTACCATTGAATGACGGAGGTTTGTGCACTGAAAAAAAATTACTTGTAGGATTTACTTAAAAAAAAAAAAATCTTTGTAACAATTTGCACTCACAAATTTTAAGTACATTTTACTGCTACTGCTCTGTACAATCTACTTACTACTTGTATGAATTCAATATTATTTTTGTTCTCACTCTTTGTGCTATAAGTGCAAGAGTTATACTAAAACATACTGTAAAATATTTATTAAGATCTTTATTAAGACTTTAAATTAAGATGCCAAGAATAAAAAGAAGAGAAATGATCCAAAACCAATGGCTACTCCTGGATAAATTTTAAATGTTTTTAAACTGTAATAAAATTAATCGTAAAACCGTAAAACATCCATTATGTAACAGATCTAATTAAGTGCGTCACCATGCTACAGAGACTGCTGTTTACGCATTTGTTCCGCCCACAACCAAAGAAACCGGCAGTGGCTCTGCTTGTTCTTAAAAGGCTGATTAATTCAAAATGAACTCCCAGACATGGAATTCTGTAGCATGGAAATCCCAGTTTTTATGCTGGCATAGAGTGGTGTTTTTAGCTTTTGCCTCTTCAAAAAATAAAATGAGAAAGTGGACTGCCCTCTGACACACATGACATTGTCCCAGTCTGTTTATGGCTGTTGAGCAAGCATCCACTGGGGGGTATCAGGGCGTAATGTCCCCAGGGAAGATCATTTTATAAAGATATTCTAACAGACTCTACAGAGTAGGTGAAAGGCTCAAAGGTTGCCAACCAGTCGCAATGGAGTGGGAGTGCCAGGTGCAGTGCACTGAATGGGAGGCAAACTCACCCCACCCACGTAGAAGTATTTCTTATCTGGACCGTAGGCCTAGGAAAGGAGTGCCCAGTATAAATTGGTCCTGATAATATAACTGGGAGGGGGGATATTATACGTCTATCGGATGCCTCCGACAAAAAGCTGGTGAGTCATTTGATTGATATTTGATGATTTTGTTGTGCATACTTCCATTGTAACTAAACAATGTCCAAAAACACAGAAGTAAAACAATGTATAGAAAAGAAGAAAATATGTTTTCCTGAGCCCTGACCTAAGCTAGTTTAGATGTTATGGCTTACCCTAAGGAGGGCTGTGCTATCAAAACAACCCAGAAATATTTACAAACTGAAACAGTAGAGAGGCGTGATATAAAATTGGTCAAAAGTTTTAGAAGCAGCTACAAAAAAATGTTTGGTGGCAGATTGCTTCTAAAGGAGGATCTTGAAGTTAGTAAATGTAGAAATCCAGATATTTTCAAAGGTTCTCAATCTTATTCTCGCCACTGTATATTAAATGACAAAATAATTGATCAATTGCATTAAATATAATGCACAAACAAACAAAAAAATTATTGTTGAATAAACAACCAGGTCACAAGTTAGCAGTACATCACTCACTAGACTAAAAACTGTACATTTCAGACATGAGTTTGAGCGTACAAAATGTCGAGATTTTGGGATGACATTAAAAGAACTAATAACGTTTTTTGAACCGTTAACTGCAACAAACCATTTGAAAGAACCAGTTTAAATCACCCATCACTTACTCAGATGCACAAACATTGTATCATGAGCTGCGTGTGTGCAAACGTACACAGTTTGAAACACTTGAAAGGAAAGCCTGGAAAGGGTGTTACCTGGGAGCTGAGATATATTTGTTTGTATCAAACATAATGGCAATAACAAATTCCATCCCTAGTGTTAGAAGTGGTCATGCTGTTTTGCTAACTTTTTACAATGTTTCTAGAAAGATTCAAAACTTGGACAACATAGCCTTTTCCAACTGTTTTGCACTTAATTTCAGTGTGCAAAAAAAGGTAACTTCTTATTCTGTCCTTCACAATGAGGTGAGCGGAAAGGTTTTATCTACTTGTTGCAGAATTGCTTCCTGACTAATTTGCTCTTTGAGAACACTCACCTTCGATTTACATTGAAAACAGTCTGTGGAGGAGAATTTATTCCAGGGCTCCACTGTAAAATGTGCTTGAAGTTATGAGACAATATTGTAAAGTTGACAGGAGCAGGGATTGTGTTAAGCACTAGAAGAAGAAAACCATAAAGAAATATGACACATACCACAAACAATAAATGTTTATCTTTTGCTTTTTGTCTTGTCTTGCCAATAGTTTATCAAAAATACCCAAAACACCTAAAATTTTTGGAAATATATATATATATTAAAAAACTTAAAATGAGAATAAAAGCTTCTGTGAATAAAAGCCCCCCCCCCCCCTCCCCCCCAATCATACCTGTAAAGTAGAGAGACATGAGGAAAAGCTGCCCCGTGTAAGTGATCCTCATTTTGATTGTTGATCATAATTCACAAATAGCAGCAACCTCACACTGAAATAAAAGTACAAAAGAGAAATGATTCAGACGGGCCACAAAGAAAAGAGGAACAAGGAAAAAGAGACCTTTATTTACCAAACCTTTATTGCAGGGGTGCCCACACTCGGTCCTGGAGGGCCGGTGTTCTGCAGAGTTTAGCTCCAACCCTAATCAAACACACCTGAAGCAGCTAATCAAGGTCTTACTAGGCATACTAGAAACATCCAAGCAGGTGTGTTGAGGCAAGCTGGAGCTAAACTCTCCAGGACCGAGTTTGGGCACCCCTGCTTTATTGTAACATTAAAAGGGTCATCGGATGCCCATTTTCCACACGTTGATATGATTATTTAGGGTCTTAATAAAAGGTCTATAACATACTTTGGTTAAAATTTCTCAATGGTAGTGTAAAACAACACCCTTTTTACCTTCAAAAGCTGTCAAAAACAGCTGTTCAAAGTGACCTGTTTCGGTGCATTTTCCTTTAAATGCTAATGAGTTCTGCTGACTCCGCCCCTCTCTTCCGTGGGGTGACGAGCCGCACTCATGAGACTAAACTTCAGCCGCATTTAGCCACGGAACTTGCCAACTAGCACATTATTAGGAAAGGCCATCTGCAAAAATTCATAAAAAAAAACTTATTTCTTCTATAGGTGAAGCTGGATAATGAATGATTTGCGCAAACATAGAAGCATTTAGGTAGATCGGGGGGGCGCATTCCCTTTAAAAACAGTTGTAATCCACTGCGTCTTTACGGTGTCTCTCAGATGTTGGGAGTAAATGAGGACTGCTATGTTCATTATTACATCCAACAACAGAACGCCTCAATCGCTTAGGAGTCATTCTTGTCTACTCCTGCTCCGGCGTCAAAACAATGGCAGACTGATGACAGCTCACTCAGGGACGGTCTGTGCCAAAACGCAAGTGTCAATCAACAATCGTGGGAGGGGCCTGGTTCTGTGTGACGTCACACAGCCAAGAATCTGAGAACGGCTTGATCTGAGAAAGGGGTTATGATTTTTGCGGATTAAAAAAAAAAAAAAAAAAAAAAAAACAACGGGGGGGTTTTTTTTCTTTTAGGGGGGGTTGTGTCTCTCAGATGTTGGGAGTAAATGAGGACTGCTATGTTCATTATTACATCCAACAACAGAACGCCTCAATCGCTTAGGAGTCATTCTTGTCTACTCCTGCTCCGGCGTCAAAACAATGGCAGACTGATGACAGCTCACTCAGGGACGGTCTGTGCCAAAACGCAAGTGTCAATCAACAATCGTGGGAGGGGCCTGGTTCTGTGTGACGTCACACAGCCAAGAATCTGAGAACGGCTTGATCTGAGAAAGGGGTTATGATTTTTGCGGATTAAAAAAAAAAAAAAAAAAAAAAAAAGCACTGGGAGGATTTTTATCATTATAGGGTGGTTGTGTACACACACTGCCAACACATATTTCAGTTCAAACAACATGTAAAAGTGCATTTCGCATCCGATGACCCCTTTAAAAACCAAAATACACAAAGCTTTTTAACATCACACATATTTTACCTTAAAAGCATTAAAAAACTAAAATATATACACATTTTTTTTCTTTCACACTTCACCAAACTCTTTAAGGGGTCATGAACTGAGAAATTAAATTTCCCTTGATCTTCTGACATACAACAGGTCTATGTACTATAAAACATACTGTAAGTTTAAAAATTCAAACCTCTCTCATTAGTTTAAAAACAGTTTTATATTGAAACCAAGCTCAGAAAAGGAATTTTGGAATGTTCCACTTTATAATAATAGTGTGGCTAAACACAGCCTCCGCAGTAGAAGATCAACGCCTACTTCTACATCATTACTGTTTAGCCCCGGCCACCAATTCAGGCTTGTAGTAGGATGAGAGGAAATACTAGAGACAACATTAATTTTTAATTACCCAAGACCCGAGGCCACTGATACTGAACCCGGCCCGTGTCCGAGGCACTCGTCTAAGTTTTGGACCTGAACCCGCTCGGGTATTGGGTCAGACATCGAGTTTTCAAGTGGACTTGTGAAGACCTCTACTGAGAAGCTCCTGTTTTCCACCTTCATTAGTTTACTGTCTTTGTTTACAGTTTATTTTTTTATTTTTTACGGGTTTTCTTTTGAATTGCACTCAAAAAAAGTATTTTTTTGATGCTGTTCACTTTATTTAAACAATTCATTTTGATTTAACACCATGTATCAGGTTTGTCATTCAAACATGACTGCATCTTGTTAAACTGACTTGAAATGGTTGCTTTTTGGCTTAACGCGATGTTTTAATTTTGAAAGAACATGTTTCAATCAAGTATCTCAAAATACGTTTTACACTTTCCATCATGCTTTGCACAGGACTGGATATGGGGAGAGAAAATGTTGAAATAAAGTGTTATTTTATGCATTTTTTAGTAAAATGTGATAGGGAGACTTTTTCATGCCTAATGCTCTATTATGTGGGCATTTTAAAATACTTTCTATTGGTGTATTTTGTGCGAGTTACCATTGTGGTGACGTGTGGAGCGTGTTGAGGACCTGCTTAAAAAAAAAGTCTAAAAAGCGACTCCAATGAGAGTGCTAGTGCATGATATACACACAGTACCATCCTTAAACTGCCAACAACTAACATCATATGTGTAAAGAAAAGTTAGATTATATCTTACTTGCTTATGTTTTTATTAGGGATGCGCCAATCCGATATTCATATCGGGTATCGGCTCCGATAGTGCCATTTTTCTTGGATCAAGTATCGGTCAGAGAGGGCTGATCCAAATCCGAGATTTTTATTTGTATTTTTCTCGATTGTGCGAATTATTCTGTGTTACTTCTGATACGATAGCTTAATGTGAGCTACATATGAATATTTAAGTCTTTACATTAAAGTTCACACAAACTCTTTTCTCCGCTGTGGCTGTCAGTCATTTGTTCAGCCTTTAAACCCTGATCCCATTTGGTTACAGCAGTCAGCTCGGTAAAGCTCTCTCTAAGATCATTCTGTGTTCCCTTCCCATTATACCTGATTTGTAAATACATGTCTATGATTTTGCAAAAAGGACTTTATCTTCTTGCCGGAGTTTAATGTTGTTTTGTTACTTGCTACCGGGTGTCTGTGAGAACAAAACACGGGCGTAGAAAAGACTATAAATTGTTTTTAACGTGCACAGTAACTGAAATTTAAAACTGTTAAAAGAAAGGCTCAATAACTGTTGCACAGGTATAATACACTACGCATCAATTTCTCTTCCCTTTGTGCTTTGCAGTTTTTAACACGAAGCGCTTACAATGTGCGCATTCGGTTGCTCCGGACGCCATGTTGCTTCAAGCGCATCATTCTACACACCGGATGCACACAATGTAAGCGCTTAGTGCTCATAGACTGTATAAAAACAGTTCGTGCTGCACTGTATTTGTTTTGTCCTATCATATCTATCATATGTTGTTGCCTTATTAAAAAATATGCTATACATTTAAAAGAAATGTATTTTAATTTTATAGTATATACTTATATATATAAATACATTCATGAATGTTTTTAATGAATGGATTTTATAATAATACAAATAGCAATGTGTAACATTTTATCATATTTAGTGCAACACTTTTATTTGTTCCCCACAAAATATTGTTTTTTCACTAAATGTTTGGATTTCTAAAATTATTGTGCACTGATTTTTCTAGAATAACTTTTGCTGCCGAATTATCCACTAACCTAGTTTATGATAAATTTTTGTCATAGATTATAAATATACATAGGCCTATATTTTTTCATATTTATAGTTTATTTTATTTTTCTTTATAATGAAGTAGTCTGTATCTAGTAGACTGTGAAAGAAGGATTATCAATTCCACACACAGAGATATATAAATTTTACAATTATTTAAATGGGGGGAAAAAACTTCACTGGTATCAGATCAGTATCGGAGGCGAAAAATCGGATCGGATCGGAGCATCACTAGTTTTTATAACACTTTGGATGAACTTGCATGGACAGTGGTTCTACATGATGTAAACATATTATCTCTACTCAGATATTTCTTATAGGATAAACTAAAGCAAACTGAGTAAACTCAACTAAAATTAGAGATAATAAGTCCTAATAACTTGATTTATTCATGTCCAAATAACATGGTACAAACACGTGGAACCACTGTCCATGATTGAATCATGTTCAGCCAGAGTCATTTTTTGAGTGTGTCTGACCCCCCCATAACATAGGTATTAGTTACTTGCATAAGTTATTAAATGCAAAATTTTTGAACTAGTCATAAACTGTAAAACATTTCTATTAGACTTTTTTTTGGTAATTGTGTCCTGAACTGATGTTTTGCGCAGGTATATCTTGTGAAGGTGCAGGTAAATGAAGGGAAATGTAAAGCGTTAGATCAACCAATGATCAACCAGTTCTCTAAAATAACTCAAGAGATGCATGTCATGAAGCTTTATTTGGCAAGCATATATAGACAGAACACAGCACAGTGCTACAAATTCTGACAATGGAAAAACAACAAGGAAACATACAGGGTCAGTGGCCAGAAAGAAGAGATGTAAGGATGCATGGTGGAAGGGTATAGGGAGGATGTAGGCATGTTTCTTATTTCACATTTCTCAGTCATGACTTTATGGCCAAGGCCATAGAAAGGGTACAGCCGAATGTTGGGAGAACACTTTATACAGACTGTAACAGTCACGTACATGTATGCACAGTCATGTGTGTGTGTGTGTGTGCAACTTTAATACTGTTGCATAATCCCTTATTTGGCAGGTCTTCTCTGTATTATTTGGCCTCTTCAAAAAAAATGCAATGACTTTTTTAAATGAGTTACAGTGTGTCATTTAGCGATAAAGGAATTATGGTGTTAAGGAAAGGACTACACTTTCTTTTCAGCTTGTCACAAGAGCTACTCATACATTGATTCATTGCCTACTTTAATACATCCTTACTTCATGATGAAATTTTACTACCACAACTGTATACCTTCTTAATTAGTTAATTAAAAAGTGGATTTGCTAACAATCTCCAGTCTCTGTGGGAGGTCACAAAATGTTTTATTATGGGAAAATGTATTGCCTTTTCCTCTTTTCAGAAATCTAGGAAGAGCCACAAGGACGAACTGGAGAGACAAGTTCAGGAGACAGAAAAGGACTTCAAAATCTCCATTTGTCAACAGAAAGGAGAGGAACTACGTGCACTTGACTAAAGAATTAGACTAAACTAAAGGTGTCACTTCTACACAAAGTCGAATTCATTATGCACTGCATCAGACAGTCATACAATTTTAAAAGTGAGCTTATAAATAGAGAATACATTACTCCAGGTACAATATACTACTAGGTTAGACCAGATCCTTATTGTTTTCTCTGCAATAAGGGTGTGTTCACACTTGTCATGTTTGGTTCAATTAAAACAAACTCTGGTGCGATTGCTCTGTTAGTGCAGTTCGTTTGAATAAGTGTGAACGCTGCCATCCGAACCCTGGTGCGCACCAAACAAGAAGACCGAGACCGCTAAGGGTGTGTTCACACATGTAGTTTGTTTCGTTTGGTTCATTTGGTCTGGACCAAAAAGGAAAATTATACATTTGGTCCTGGTCCGCTTAGCGTTCACATTGGCATTTTTGACAGCGAACCTAAAGGCATAGTGATACATTCACAACCTGATTGGTCGGCTTCAATGACGTATATATTGTGACGGAACTCACCGAACACCCCAAACTAAATGTGCATTAGACTTAAAGTGGCGCTGCAGGTGTATGGTATCAACGCACCCATTAACCGATCGGTCTGCTCAGCGCTGCTTTAAGTCGAACACTCCGAACCCTGGTGCGCACCAAACAAGAAGACCGAGACCGCTAAGGGTGTGTTCACACATGTAGTTTGTTTCGTTTGGTTCATTTGGTCTGGACCAAAAAGGAAAATTATACATTTGGTCCTGGTCCGCTTAGCGTTCACATTGGCATTTTTGACAGCGAACCTAAAGGCATAGTGATACATTCACAACCTGATTGGTCGGCTTCAATGACGTATATATTGTGACGGAACTCACCGAACACCCCAAACTAAATGTGCATTAGACTTAAAGTGGCGCTGCAGGTGTATGGTATCAACGCACCCATTAACCGATCGGTCTGCTCAGCGCTGCTTTAAGTCGAACACACCTAATGCCGTCTGCTGGACTAAGCGCACTCATTCTTGCGTGTAGGCTACATATATACATAATATATGAATGCAACACGGACCAAATACTTCTAAACGAACCAAAAACAGGAAGTAATGACAAGATGCGACGCTATGCGACATGATTTGACGACACGGTGTAACCAAAACAAAATGAGCAGAGGTCAAACATGGAGCAACGATGAGGTAAAGTGCCTTTTATGAGCTCCTTGTGAGTTTGCAGGTGGTGAAAATTAAATTATATGTAGCCTACACACAAGAATGAGCGCGCTTAGTCCAGCAGACGGCATTAGGTGTGTTCAACTTAAAGCAGCGCTGAGCAGACCGATCGGTTAATGGGTCGTGGGTTCGAGTCTTGGTACCAACGGGGATTGTCAGCGGGGGGAGTGAATGACCAACGCTCTCCTCCACCTTCAGTAACCACAACTGAGGTGAGACCCTTGAGCAAGGCACCAAACCCCCAACTGCTCCCCGGGCGCCGCAGCAATATGGCTGCCCACTGCTCCGGGTGCATGTTCATGGTGTATGTGTGTGTGTTCACTACTCACTGCTGTGTGTGTGCACTTGGATGGGTGAAACACAGAGCACAATTTCTGAGTATGGGACACCATAATCGGCCACATGTCCTTTCCTTTCCTTTTTAATGATTATAAAGGGAGTTTTATTTGCACACTTTCTAGACCAGTGTTTCCCAACCTTTCTTTAGTCGCGGCACCCTTTGGAAATTTTAACAAATTTGTGGCACCCTACAAAATTAATTTTGTCACAATATTTGAATTTCTAACTTCGATATGATACTTTGAAAACTTTTGCTCACTCAGTGTTTTTTCTATTTTTACAGTGGGGTAATTTTGTTGCAGTAGCACGAGATAGCTTGATTTAAAACTTTGAATTGAATAAAAAATGACAAGGAGGCTAAGCAGTTATTAATAATAAAATAAGAACAAATAAAGAAATTACTAATGATAGTACAAATAAAAAATGACCATAGGCCAACAAATGAAATAAACTGCTTTTTAGTTTTTCAGGTAGGTCTAACACAGTAGGGCTATTAAGAGATTTTTTTTTTTTTACCAATTATCCAAATAATGTTTAATCCTAGAAAGCTCTTATTATCAGAGGACACGTGAGCATAATGGTTAGCAGATCAATGAATGAGAGGGCAGTGTTACCAGAGTTGCCCATTTACCACACCTTGTTACAGCACAGTAGGGCTATTGCAAACAGAAACAATACTGTACTACATAGATGTTTCCTGTCAGCTCGATTTTTGAGTGGACTTTGCTGTTCCGATGGCCATGAACGGTATATGAGTGGAGCACTCACATGGGTCGTGAGCGACTGAGCGGAGCGCACACGCATAGAGCAGGATAATACGCAGAGCATCACACCATGTGAAAGTGAATCCTGAGCGGTGAACTAATTTTCGGCAGCCGGAATTTCAGTGCATCTCTATTTATTGGCGACATCAGAAATGGATATTATATAATAGCTGCTTTTTTGAACATTTTAGGCACCCCGGTTAAAAAAAATTATAAAAATTATACTGAATGGGATAGTGTATAATGTTACAAAAGCTTTTTATTTCAGATAAATGCTGATCTTTGGATCTTTCTATTCATCAAAGAATCCTGAAAATTTTTTTTACTCAACTGTTTTAAATATTGATAATCAGCAAATCAGCATATTAGAATGATTTCTGAAGCATCATGTAACACTGAAGACTGGAGTAATGAAGCTGAAAATTTAACTATGTATGATCACAGGAATAAATTACATTTTAAAATCTATTCAAATAGAAAGCAATTTTAAATAGTAAAAATATTTCAACATTTTACTGTTTTTGCTGTACTATTAGAAATCTTACTGTTCAAAAACTTTTGACTGGTAGTGTAGGCTGATTATTCTTATAGACTGAAACAAATGTGCTTCAGCTAGAAAAAAGGGTATGAAAAGTGCTCAGAGTCGCTGCAGAAAACAAAAAAATTGAACGACAAAAACTGGAAATGTTGCTGGAGATGGCTTATTTAAAATGCAAACTCATTCTCTGCCAGCAGGAGGCGCTTTTAGAGTGATAAAACTAGCGGTTTCTCCAGTAACGGCTATAATCAAAGCAGCTCCGCTCATGAATGCTACTTTATCAGATAAAATGAAAATGCCATCTTCTGAAGACAGTCGGTTCCCTTCAGTGATACATTCATATAAAACACCTGTTCCGTGTTATGATTTTGAAACGTGCAGTGCTCATGTTTATTCAACGAAGTCAAACTGCACAAATAAATCAATGTATGGGAAACTGGTAATGTATATCGAAATATCTGAAATGTGTTTAAAAATCATATCACCGTTATTGAAAAAAATTATATCGCGATACATATTGATATTGAATTATTGTCCAGCCCTAGCTTCTGTATAATGCATATTAAAGTTCATAAGTGCAGCACTGCTTTGTTTACAGCGGAAACCAAGGAAAAGCTTTAAGCGCCACCTGCTGCAGAGAGTGAATATGCGTCTAATTCAGCTCCTCTGCTGTTTCTGTTTCATGCAGATAATTTTTATGTATAGTTTCACAAAACTGAAGTCAAACCATTCTGTTTTTGTTTCAAATTTATACGATCTAATTTAGTTTAAAAACTGCTCATGTTGTATGTATGCAGCATCTTTGTTTGGATCATGATTAAAATGCAGTGGTTGCCTCTAATTTTAAATGGAAAGAGCACAGACAAAGTCTTATTTTGTTTATATGAAGAGATTTATTTTATTTGTGTTATTTATTTGATTTGGGGCTTGTTTTAAAATTTCAATTTAGTTTTGTTATTTACATTTACATTATATTTAAATTTTGTAATTTAGCAGACGCTTTTATCCAAAGCGACTTACAAATGAGGACAATAGAAGCAATCAAAACCAACAAAAGAGCAATAATATACAAGTGCTATATTACTATATTATTATAGTGTTATATTTCAATTTCACAAAGAAACATGCAGCATTTTGTCCAAGCAATAATAAAAGGACACATTTAATTTATAATTTATCTTAAATCTCATTTTGTAAAAAAAAATTAATAAATCGTGAATTGAATCGAATCGTGAAATCAAAATCTTTTTTCAAGGGTATCGGTTAATATCTTGATTGCTGTTTTGACATAATTTTAGTCATATATCAACTACCTCACATTAACAAATCACAGGTGTCCCATTAGAAGAAAAGTAAAGTCTTTTACGTACACATTACATTCAAAGAGGTTTAATAAATACCTTTAGTGGATGGGATCTTGATAAATTCACCTGATTCTTAAGTCACCCCTACACCATGGTGACTGACAAGATCTATGCAAGGAAGATGAAAAACAGTTTAACACTAGGCTACTTAAAAAAATGAATGTCTTAACATGAATTCTTGAAAATGTACCATGTAGCTCCATGGTATTCCTTTAAGTATATTGGTGCATCATGTAAAATGATGATAATTGTATATCTACATCATACAGTAGGCTATATCAAACAACCATACTACACTTGTACTATCACTGTACCACAGTAATGCCATATTGCTTTAAAAAAGCCAACTAAATAGAAAATGTTAAACACAGTAGTAAGTATTAACTTTCACCCCTAAAAGGAACAAATGAAAACAATATTTATCTTAAAATTCTTATTAGTGGACATCTAATAAATAGCCCCAAGCACGTTTTAAAAATGTATGTTTTATATAAAACTCTACCATACGGTTGAGCTGTCAGTCCATGGTAAATCTTGATTTAAATTCAGAGAACTATTTCTATTAGTTATTTTCCAATAATAAACATTCTTTTAACTTTATTAGTATCTTGGATACATTTCATAACCTTCAGGATCCACAAAGATAAAAAATTATATTGAAGCGTCTCTATAATATAGACGTATGGCAATATATAATATATGTTAAATGATGTCCTTTACAGACATATCAACCGTACGGTCAACGCATGATTTTGGATAATTATGGTAAATAAACATTTTTGCATTTCTCATATTTGTTTTTATATATTTATGTTCTTTTACCCTCTACCCTATTTACAACAACATCATGGTTTCACCCCTACTTCCTTGATAGCTTGTTTGACCAGCTGTTATCTGATGACTGACCAGCACCGTTCTCCCTTCTGTGTGACTGACTGAAGTTTGTAAACTGCTGCTGTCACTTGAAAACTGGAAATTCCCAACCCCCCGTGACAACAGCAGACACAGAGATGGGGCAGTACAGCTGTGGAAACATTGCTCTCTCATTTCTTACTTTTGATACATTTATTCCTATCAAATTAAGCTCAACGTACGGTAGAGATATCAGTTAAAAGGTTAAAACGACCTGAATTTCTCCGGAATACGTTGCCTTTGCAAATCAATGATTTTTTTTTATTAAACAACTAAATTAATTACTTTGTGCGACGATTGAAACATTACAAGTGAAATGTATCAAGTTCCAACTGTTTCTGAACACTCACTTAAAAACACATTTTAAAAAGCTCTTCACAGTACCTGTAAATCCGTGATGTTATATCCTATCCTTTTGTCAACGAGAGCGCACAAAATTTAACGTTAAGTGAACGTTTTCAAACGTTTAAGGAAGTTCCCAAATCTGCTTTCCTAACGTCATTACTGAAAAACGCCTGCACAACCGGAGGCTGCAGTTTCAGGACCGCATTTCCAGGACCCTATAGTTTTTGTAACAGCGCCACCTACCGAATTGGGTGATATAGCGGAGGCAACACCCTTCTCGAAAAACACGTGACTCAAGTTCACTTGACACAGGCAGGAAGTCATGTGATGTTCATTGAAAAGAAAAACTAATTGGTTACTTGTGTGTAAGCGAACTAAATTATAATAATTGCCTATAGTAGAAGCAGACTCTATATGTTTTGGGGCTTTTGTTTTGTTTCCCTTTGTTTAATATCAAGTAACAGCCTAAGATCACGTCAGCACAAACGATGCCCGGTGTTACAATATAATTATGGAACGCCAGACAGTTCAAAATATACGTGAATTTTAACATGTAAACAATGCATCGTATACATATTGATTACGCGTTGTATAAATGCCAAAGCTATAGTAACACAGGACGCATCTTGCACAAGGCTGTTTTACTGTAAAGCACATTCATGCCAGAGATATTTTATTTACTATTCAGCTAATCAAAACCCTCAGCCGATTACTTTCTTTTTTTCTGGCAGACCAAACTCCAGCCAGAGCTCAGCCAAATGATGTTTGATACTAGACTGTGAAAAAAACTGCACCAGAATTAAGCCAGAAGTTCCGAATGTAAGCCAGACTCAGCCCACACTTGCTATCTGGGTAAGCGGAGAAGTTTCATTTTAGCGGTCAGCAACTTTCCTATATTTTATGATAGACCAGATAGACCAGCGCTTGCTCTTTTACCGCAAATAAATGACCATGATGGCAAAGAACACTTCTTCTGAGCTGTGGATCAGACTTTACCATCTGCTCCGCTGAGGAGGACATCACCAGCCTCCTCAAGTTCAATCAAGTTTGTTTACTTTTCTTTCCTAAGTCAATGTATAATTCAGTGTAGGTGGAAATTCGATTGTGCTACTTATTAATGTGATGACACATGGACTGTGATAAAGGCCTATTTATAATGTCACATCAAAATGTTATTTTAACAGTGTAATATCTCGTTATCACGGGGAAAACATTGTTTTTATGATATAATATGTCATTATTATAAGAAAATATACCAATTTAACGACACATTATATCGTTATTACAACAGAAGCATATCGTTATTACAAGAAAATGTGTTGAAGAAGACTTGGATTACTAGAAGACAGAGAGACAGCATTGCTGCAGTAGGTTTAGGTAACTTCCAGGTAAGTCTCTAGGTAAGTGTGTGTTCTCTTGACATTCCAGACAACTACTGAAGGTTTATGCACTTTATTATGCTCATGATGAGACCTGAATTGCAGGTGCATGTGATTAATACTCTGGTCACTTGCTGCGTTCAAGTCCTCCTGGGACATTTGTACTTACCAGTTGAGTAATTATGATGTCAGGTGCGTTCAAATCAATGATGGCGATTTAACTTTTCAACATAAAATTCAACTATTTTTTTAACTCTACATCTACAAAATGATGAATAAAGAATGTACATTGTGTTTTTGCTTTTTTCTGTTTTTATTCAATTTATGGTAATGTAAACTGAATCATTATATATTTTATGATAATTATACAATACTATAATATTTTGTATATGTAACAAAGTTTTATTGTACATTACAAAAAAGTAATCTTTTTTTTTCATTTCAACAAATTTACCATCAATACAGTCACTGCATATCTATAGTCTTTGGCGGCGTCCATTGCATCAGACACGTTTTCTCACTGACACGCCCCCAACTCAGAAACTCGGGGCTTAAAGAAAATCAAGTTTCCCACTCGTAATAATGACTTTGTGATGCCGTTCATGTGCTTTCAACTCGTAAATACGATCTATCTGTCATGACTTGAACGCACCGTTATCGCTTTTCCATCGGTGCTAGAGCCGGAGCCCAACCACCACTTTTAAAGGCAAACTTACTTTGTGGCATTACCCGATATTCATAGTGGCCTGTAGGGGTCACAAAGGTGTTCTTCCATTCGTCCCCACTCTGCATCTGGATTAGATTGAATGTGCTGCGCAGGACAAACTTGCTGAAGATGGTGGCTCCACGCAGCAGTTCCATTGGAGCTGGGATAAGGGGAAGTGGGTAACAAGATTTGAAAGTTTTTTATGGAGTAAGCGGTAATCAATAGTGTTTGTGAACCAGACATCATTCTGGACCCTTTGCCTGAGGCTTTGCAATACAGGTAATAATGTTATAAATAATATTATTATTTTTTTTTTCGCAGACTAATCGATTCACATCATAAGACCTCAATATATCGTCAGTAGCCAAAAGCATTAATTTTGTGTTTTAGTTACACTTAACATGATACACTGCAGGGGCAGTTGTTAGGCACATGGTTGGCTAAGAACTGATGCCATGAATCATATTTAAAAGAAAACAAAATTATAAAATAAAAAAAGAAGTCTGGCAAAAAGGGGCAGGGACCAAAAGGGCAGGTTCTTGAGCACATCTTTGGGTTTGTGCATGTGCCTGCTAATAACAAAATGGGTCGGAGCTGCTTCATTAGCAGATACGGGTCTGAGCCAAATCTGGTCCAAATCCATGATCCTATGTGTTCTGGATCCGTCACACTGTGTAAGTGTACTCTGATCCATTCTGTGGCTCAGATGCAGAGCCTGTGGTGAATCCAGTGTGGAGTCAGTTTGTCATATAGGTATTCAAACACATTTTTAAATTAGATTTCACAACTTATTTTTACCCATTTTAATAATTAAATTGATAGAAACTAAGACATTATGCTGTTTTATGATCTAATACTGATTCTGTTCTGTTGGACAAATGTCATATCCAAAAATCAAGAGTGACAGCTTACTTTTTTCCATTTTCTGAGACAAAGAATTTTCCCTTCTTAAATTTTTTTATTAAATTCTTACATTTCAAAGAAATAATAATAAAAATATGTTTAGATAACATTGTTTGTACTCATTAAATAGATACAATTTGTTGGTTGTAATTCTAATGTTTAATATAACATTTTACATTTATTATTTCATGTTGTTTTATTTTATGATATTATTTTATGGCTGACAGGGCGCGTGTAAACCGCGCATGCTCACTGATCTTGCGAACAAACCACGCCCTGTTGATGTCGTCAGACAAAAGCTGTTTTAAAGCAAGGCTATGCAGCGCGTCGCGGAGGAGACCAGAGATGCTTTTTAAAAGGATGTCAGTGGAGGAACGGCTTCAGCACGCTGAATAAATAAACTGCTTTCGTGGGGAAAAAACCCATCTTATTTAATTTAATGAATCAACAGCCTATATGCAAATCATCAACTTAACCGTACTTGCCTATAAACATTCGTGTTGGACTGCTCTATCATTTAGAGCGTATATTTACACCGAGGAAATGCTGTTTTATATCAGAAGTTACGGCACTGGGTTAATTAATTTCTATGGTATGCGCAAAAAGTGATTGACTTTTGCTTCAATGACGTTAAGGCTGTAATTAATGTGATTGGTTATCAAGGCACACGTGAATGATTTCTCCCATGGTAGAGCCGCGGAGGTTGATATCTCCCCACATTTAGACCATCTCTGCTCAGACGCGAAACAACAGGAAGACAGAAACGGAAATAGCAGAAGAACAAAGAAAATGAAAGTGTGTGAATGCACTATGGATTATTTTTGCAATTTCAAAAGAAAGTGTATAATGGGGCAGTATTTAAAAAGTATTATGTGAGAAAGGGGAATAGAACCTGTGAAAAATAAATCACGGGATGTCTCTGGGAGAACAGATGAGAAACAACTGATTGATCAATATCACGTAAGCGTTGCAAAATGTATGTAATAGCAAGGATACTAACAACCATTGCTTTGTTTCACCTGGGTAAGTATGCTATTACATTTATATTTGCTCTTCTGTTTAAAACTTGTTGATTAGTGTTGTTAGATTCCAAAAATTCTCATTTGGGCTATAGTTTATTGTGACATGGACCACACCATGTAAAAAGTAAAAGGGGGGTTCCATGGCAAATCAACAGACTCACAAAACAAAGCTTTCCTAGCTGAATTTTTATTATTCTCTGAATACGTGTGCTATTTTGTTTGAAAATTATCTATTTTTTAAATCTCGAAAATCAAGATTTGTATTTTTTTTATACAAATAAACAATTTATTTAATACAACCAACATTATTTGATTTGATCTCTTAAATCTTGAAATGTTCCAAAATTTTGGTAATACTAAGTGGTGAAATAAATTAAGCTATTCTTCTTGATTTTGATTCAGTGCAAATTTATATATATATATATATATATATATATATATATATATATATATATATATATATGAACACAGTTGGAAGATGGACACAGTTTTTGTTTTATCCGGTGCAACATATAACATCCAATTGTAAGATATAACACCAACATGTCAGAAAAAACCAAAGCTGAATCACTAAGTTGGAAAAAGGATAACCCCCTTGTGTCAGTATTTTGTTGAACCACCTTTTGCTTTAATTACAGCCTTTAGTTTGTTGGGATATGTCTCCACTAACTTTGCACATCTAGACTTTGCAATATTTGCTAACTCTTCTTTGCAGAACTGCTTAAGTTCAGTTAATTTGCAGTTATTTCACAGATTTTCAACAAAATGTGATTATTTTAAAGGAGTTCTTTATACCAACTGTGTTTGTGTGTGTGTGTGTGTGTATATATATATATATATACACACACACTACCGTTCAAAAGTGTGGGATCAGTAAGATTTTAAATATTTTTTAACGGAGTCTCTTGTGCTCATCAAGGCTGTATCTATTTGATTAAAAATACAGAAACACTGTAATATTGTGAGATATTATTTCAATTTCTAATATTGGCTTTCCATTTTATTATACTTTAAACTGTAATTTATTCCTGTGATCAAATTCTGTATTTTCATCATCATTACACCAGTCTAAAGTGTCACATGATCCTCAGAAATCATTCTAATATGCTGATTTATTATCAGTGCTGGAAACTTCTGTAAAAAACATAAAAAATCGTACTGATCCCAAACTTTTGAACGGTAGTGTGTATATATATATTTTTTTTTTTTCAACAAAATATTAAAAATTAAAATTGTATTTATGATTATATTTATTTGTCCAATTACATTTTACATGCATTGGTTCATAGAGCTCTGTGTTGCAAAAAAGGTGAAAAACATTTGGATGGTATTAGACTGCTCTAAAAAATGAATTAAAATGTTACTGTATTTCACAAGTTTATCTAAATGTATTGATTTTTCCCTCTTTAGGACTGTGCATGGACTTACCTGCCCCTGTACATCTGGTCCTGTCTTCACAATATTTAGTCCATTTGTTGTCCTGGAAAATGGGGCCAGGCTCACCTGATGGTGTCCACTATACAGTCAGCGTGCATGCACTCAAGTATGTGATGTACTGTTTTCACACATGGCAAAATAGAACGCAGAAATAAGTAATTTGGTTACTAATTGGAATGTATAATATATATAATTTTTTATATATTCCATTCCACTTTTGCATGGACACTATTTTTTCCTATTTGATACTGTAAAGTTGCTTTGACACAATCTGTATTGTTAAAAGTGCTATATAAATAAATATAAATAAATAAAGGTGAGTATATAACGGAATAGAGGGAAATATGCAGGATTTTAGAAACAATACAGCATTATAAAGATATGTTGAGAGGCTATTCCTATTTCTACCTTTAAACCTAACCAAAAGCATTTTTCAGAAATATGTACAGTATAAAGTTAAACATGACAGACATATGAAATTACAATTATTTATGTATTGCGACAATGTCAGAAGAGCTACACCGAAAGTAGTCCAAGCGACAATGTGTTGTGGTCGCAGTACTTTCTGGTAGGATATATTAGTTTTGTGTGAGTAACAGCAACATTTAAGTTCTTAATCACTTGAAATATACTTGAGCATACATCAGTGTGAATTACCTAAAGTGACTGAAATTGATTTGAAGTGTAATTTGATTGTTTACTTTAGCTCAGGTCCATCACTTACATAGAGAGGGCGGAGTTTATGACCTATACTGCAGCAAAATAGTTTTGGCTTCACTTTTCAGGACGTGTGAGGCACACTTGATTTAAACGCACATCACAGTCTGTGACGAAGCAGGCGAGAGCCAGTGAGCGTTTTGATATCGTTGCTGTAAAACCTTTCATAAAGCTTCTTGATTTGGCATTTAATGAATTTGTAATGAGCACGGATTTTGGGTCTGTTCCTCGCAATCGTTTGGATTCTAAATATTTGGATTACAGCGCACAAAACCGATTACTTTTGTGATTTTTATGTTGTGTATTTTATGGTTCTGTTGTCAGTTACAGCATGCCTTGTGTGTCCCACAGCAAACAAAATAAAAACTACATTATAAGTAATGGTTAAACGATTACAGAAACGCTAGGAGTTGGGAGTTTGCAAGGAGTTGGAAGCATACAGAAGCCACACAGAATAGAATGAAATGTTATCATTTCATATTAAGTAAACTACGTTTAAAAAAATTAAATAGAAAACAATTTATACGACAACTGAATGCATTATAATCAAAATGATGAAACAATTTCAGTATTCATGTAGCCTATTCTGTAAAGTTGCTCATATGAAATTAATTTACATTTTAGATGCTATCGATATGTAAATATTATGTTTAGATGTCACTATTGTACGTTTCAGTGTCTATGCAGATGTAAGTAAATGTGTGTTAGTTCCACACTTTATGTAAAAATACATATAAAAACTAATTCGAGCACATTGGAAATACAAGTTCAGTTCAATTTGAATGGATGCTAATTCTGATTCTGATTCTGTTCTGTGTTGACAGTCGGGGCGAAGTGGTGGTGAAGGAGTGTGAAAAGGTGACCTTCCCTCTGCAGTGTAATCTCACAGAAGCCTTTTCTGATCTGGAGGACACCTATTACGTCAGTGTGTCTGCTGCTCTGGGCAACCTTACCTCACCATCTTCCTTCTGCAACCCATTCAAACCCATTTATAACAGTAAGAGAGAGACAGTTTCCTGTGATTTTTATTTGGACTATTTTTATTTATAGGCCTACATAAACCACAAAACATGCCCCATGGATACGATCTTGGATTAATGTAAAGCTTCTGTAATACTTGTTAGGGGGGGTTAATTATACAGGTCTTATACATCAAGTCTAGTCAAGGCACCTTTATATATGTGACCCTGGAGCACAAAACCAGTCTCAAGTCATTGTATGGGTCAAAATTATCGATTTTTCTTTTATGTCAAAAATCATTAGGATATTAAGTAAAGATTATGTTGTTCCATGAAGATACTTTGTAAATTTCCTACCGTAAATATATCAAAACTTAATTTTTGATTAGTAATATGCATTGCTAAGAACTTCATTTGGACAACTTTAAAGGTGATTTTCTCAGTATTTAGATTTTTTTGCACCCTCAGATTCCAGATTATCAAATAGTTGTATCTCAGCCAAATATTGTCCTAACTTAACAAACCATACATACAGTGGGTACGGAAAGTATTCAGACCCCCTTACATTTTTGTTTCTGAGCTCTTCAGGCAGTTCCTTTTGACCTCATGATTCTCATTTGCTCTGGCATGCACTGTGAGCTGTAAGGTCTTATATAGACAGGTGTGTGGCTTTGCTAATCAAGTCCAATCAGTATAATCAAACACAGCTGGACTCAAATGAAGGTGTAGAACCATCTCAAGGATGATCAGAAGAAATGGACAGCACCTGAGTTAAATATATGAGTGTCACAGCAAAGGGTCTGAATACTTCATGTGACATTTTCTTTTTTAATAAATCTGCAAAAATGTCAACAATTCTGTGTTTTTCTGTCAATATGGGGTGCTGTGTGTACATTGAGAAAAAAAAATTAACTTAAATGATTTTAGCAAATGGCTGCAATATAAAAAAAGAGTGAAAAATTTAAGGGGGTCTGAATACTTTCCGTACCCACTGTAAATGGAAAGCTTATTTATTCAGCTTTCTGATGATGTATAAATCTCAATTTCGAGAAATTTACCCTTATGACTGGGTTTGTGGTCCAGGGTCACATATGTAGCTCTTTATACAATACAGTTTGTTTCAAAGCCAATAGCTTTGATAGACAATAGTAAACAATAGTCATTATTCAGTTGAAATCAGTTCATTGTTGATTCAGTTTGACTCAATAACTGGGGTGCGTTTCCCAAAAGCAATGTTATCTTACTATTGTCGCAAGTTCCATTGAACTCTATTGGTAATGACGGAACTAGCGACTATAGGTGCTTTAGTGAAATGCACCCCTGCTCAGCTTGGTTCAGTTCTCATCCAATAGTGTCTGTGTAGTCAAGTCAATAATATTGCCAAACATCAAGTGTCCCCAACTAAGCAAGCCAAACGGCGTCATTGGCAAGAAACCCAAGTTCCACTAGTGAAAGAAATGATGGGGGGGGGGGGATACCTTATGAGAAACCAGGCTCAGTTGGGGGGGCCGGTTCTCCTTTGGCCAGACAAACCAACGTGATTTGGTTTAATTCCAGGCTGTAACACAAGATTATGGACTGATATATTTCAGAACAGTTCATCCAGTTTCTTCTCCTTTGAAAATCAGGATATATCAGCCAGCGTTTGGTGGGGGGAATCGAAGCTGGCCATAGGGTCTGTGCAGAAGACTTGTCTGGTTCTCATGGTTTCAAAAAAAACTCTAAACCTTGTCCAATTGTCTATGAAACCTATGTAATTCTGCGGGCACCACTTAGACATCCAGCCATTGAGTGATGACAGTCTGCTATGTATCTCGTCACCACGGTAAGCAGGGAGGGGACCGGAGCATATTACAGTGTCTGACATCCTACTTGCAAGTTCACACACCTCTTTAATGTTATTTTTAGTGATCTCCGACTGGCGAAGTCAAACATCATTAGCGCCGGCGTGAATAGCAATCTTACTGAATTTACGTTTAGCATTAGCCAGCACTTTTAAATTTGCCAAGATGTCAGGTGCTCTGGCTCCCGGTAAACATTGGTCTATGGTGGCTGGTGTCTCTATTTTCACGTTATGTACAATAGAATTGCCAATAACTAGAGCACTATACAGTCGCCCTGCGGTGGGGCTCTGCAACTGGAACGGTTCAGTTGTGCGGGACTTGCTAAGACTTGCAAAGTTTGGATATGTGTCTCTAGTTCTGAAATCTTCTCTGTTAGCCTGACTGTCCCCCTGCATTTATCACATCCCTCGCCGCTGACAGAGAAGGCTACACTAAACATGTGGCAAGCAGTGCAAGTGACAACAAAAGAAGTTGCAGCTATAAACCTCCGGCTTGCTTAGATGGGGATACTTAATATCCAGCGATATTGTCAACTTGATTGCAAATAATATTATTTAAACTGAACTGAGCTGGATGATGACATCACTGAATTCAATGATAATTAGAAAATTGAGAGTTTACTATTGTCCTTTTGCATCATTGACACACTACTTTCTTATTATTACTGTAAAGCTGCTTTGACACAATCCGTATTGTTAAAAGCACTATATAGATAAAGGTGACTTGACTTGACTATGACTTACCGTGATTGATTCCAACTTGTAAAAGATGGAGCACGAGAGAGAAAAGAGATGGTCAAGCACAAATGACAATTTAACAGGCTAGCGAAATGCTAATGCGCTGTTCTAGTGGTTTAGATTATAAAGCTAGCGATGTCAAAGTAATTTGATAGACAATATCACATTATAAACAGTGAAAAGGTTTTTGCCCCCTTCCTGTTTTTTTATTTTAATTTTTTGCATTTTTGTCACTTAAAAGATTCAGATCATCAAACACATTTTAATATTACACAAAGATAATGCAAGTAAATACAAAATGCAGTTTTTAAATGATGATTTCATTTATTAAGGGAAAAAATTGTCCAAACTTACCTGGCCCTACGTGAAAAATTAACTGCCCCCTCCTGTTAAATCACTAAAGAACTGTGATTAACCACATTATTTTAGAAAGCCGAGTTAAATTTCACTAACCAACACAGCATTTCATAAAAAGAACATCACCCCAACAGTCAAACATGGTGGTGGATGGAAGCATGAATTCTGCGCTCTATCAGAAAATCCTGAAGGAGAACCTCCAGCCGTTTGTGACCTCAAGCTCAACCGCACTTAGGTTATGCAGCAGCACAATGATCCCAAAAACACCAGCAAGTCCAGCTCTGAAAGGCTCAAGAAAAACAAAGTTAAGGTTTTGGAGCAGCCAAGTCAAAGTCCGGACTTGAATCCGATTGAGATGCTGTGGCATGACCTTAAACAGTCCATTCATACTTGAATACCCTCCAATGTTGCTAATTCTGCAAAGAAGAGTGAGACAAAATTCCTCCACAGCGATGTGAAAGACTTATCGCAAATGCTTGATTGCAGTTGTTGCTGCAAAGGGTGGCAAAACCAGTTATTAGATGTAGGGGGCAATTACGTTTTCACATAGGGCCAGGCAGGTTTGGACAGCTTTTTTCCCTTAATAAATGAAATCATTATTTCAAAACTGCATTTCGTATTTACTCAGGTTATCTTTGTGTAATATTAAAATGTGTTTGATGATCTGAATCATTCAAGTGTGACAAATGCAAAAAAAATAAAATAAATAAAATAAAACTTTTTCACACCACTGTATGTATATAATCACGTGGTACTTGTGTAGAATGTCTCTTTCAGCATGTTTTTTTCTTTTTTTCTCTTACAGCGACCTTTGAGCCTCCGCTGCTGACAGTAACTACATGTAATCAGTCGCTCTGTATAAGTCTCAGAGCACCTGCTGAGAATCTCTACAGGGTCTACAATTCATTCAAGTTTTACTATAGATTGATGGTCAGCAGTGAAGATAGAGCAGAGGTGAGAGAACAAACTGGTCATGGTTTAATTTGGGTAAATTGAACAGATAATAAGAGAATGATAAGGAACTGTTCCAGAAAAGAATGGTAAGGAACAGTTCCAGTTATTCTTGAGCTTGTTTCAGCACAGAATGATTACAAACGGTTCTAACTGCTGTTGAAACCGTGCTGCTAGAATGCAGTGAAGTTGCCTCTCAGGATTGGTCACTTGGCTACTAGTTTCTCTCTGCAGCTGGCCAATTGTGCTACAGTATTTGAGCAAAATAAACAGAAATATCTGATCTTCCCTCATTACACGGTCGCTGTATCCCATACTGTTCAGCAACGGCTGAAACATTTGTACTATGAGGTCTGTTATCAGCCCTACATAGAGTATATATTTTGAAAATATTTACATGTATATGATGTATAAATATATTTAGTATGTAAACATAACATTTTTCTTAAATATGTACATGCATGACTACCAATACTATAATGAAATTTTGGTACCGTGACAACACGTACAGAATTGTGAATTTAATATTGTAAATTTAACCTTTAATCATCACAGCCTTAATCATTTGTTTTTCACTATGGAATATGGTCTGAAAGAAGACATACTTTCAGACCATAAAACAATCATGATGCCAGTTCATTTGAAAATAAAATTGTACAAGAAATGATTGCGGCTGTGGCATTAGTCAACGGCCACATCTCCCTAGGTACCCATCCGGTTAATCGCTGCCCTTTACAGTAGTGTAATGAAAGTAAACTTTTCAACAACTGCAAATGTTGTATTTGCTGCTCTTTGTGTTCACTTATAGTTTCATGTGGATACTGAAGGGTTAAAGAATGTGACCCTAAAGGACCTGGCCCCTGGCCGAAGATACTGTGTGAATGTCAGTATCATTAATCACAGCCCACCCAATAGACCAGCAGTATGTGCCTCCACTCCCGAAAGAGCAAATGTTTCAGGTACCGTATTTTTCTACAAAATGCAATAGACTCCAACAGTATTACGTTGATGCTGTAGATTAAAAAAATGTAGTGGCTAAGTATAATGCATCAACTAATCATGTCCTTGACAACAGTTTCAATTTCAGTAGCTCTGATTGTTCTTGTATTTGACGTATTGCAAGAGACTGCTAACCAGATCGAGGTGCGCACCAAAAGTGCTAATGTGAAAGCACTTTAATTCATATAGTATCGTATCGCAAATCATCAAGTCAAGTCACCTTTATTTATATTGCAATTGAGATTGTGTAAAACAGCTTTACAGTGTTAAACAGCAAAATAATGTTTCAAGGATGCAAACAAAATTAAATTCTGCTGTAAAGCAGCTCTAAAAAGCCAAGCATTGCATTGAACTGAACTCTAGTTTGGACCAAGCGATGGCATCAAGTGTGAAAACGCCCTTAGCTAGAAAACTGGTTAAACTATAGACACAGCTGAAATACTGAACATGTAAACGTTTTGTGAATTTGCCCCAAAGTATGCTAAAATCCAGTGTTGTATATTTGTTTTAGATGCCATTATCTCGGTTATCCTGTGTCTGCTGATGTTGCTGTTAGTGATGTGCACACCAAGATTTGTTTCTCACTGTTTCTGTGTAAAAAGAGATCTTCCTTCAGTTCTGGTAAGTCTAGTCTTTTGTAACTCAGAAGGTCATGGCAGACATTTTTCATTTCAAGAAGAGATGCAAGAGACTTAGTTTGTGACTAAAGTACCTAAACAGAGGTATATTAAAATTAGCTTTAGCTTCACAAAAATGACTGTTTTCAGAAAGGTTCTAAAGGAATAGATCACCTAAAAGTTCTGAAAATGTACTCACCCTCAGGCCATTCAAAATGTTAGATGAGAACATATCTGGAGAAATTTCCACCACTTGCTCACCATTGGATACTCTGCATCAGGGGTGTCCAAACCTGCTCCTGGAGGGCCCAGAAGTGTCACCTGAATCAGCTAATCAAGGTCCTCAGACTCACTAGAACTTCCAGGCAACTGTGGTGGAGCTGGTTGGAGCTGAACTCTGCAGGACGTTGGCCCTCCAGAAACAGGATTGGGCACCCCTGCTCTGCAGTGAATGGGTGCTGTCAGAATGAGAGTTCAAACCGCTTATAAATACATCACAATAATCACAGTTATTTAACTTGACTTCAGCTCATTAATTAACATCTTGTGAAGTGAAAAGCTGTGTTTGTAAGAAACAATTCCATAATTTTAACTTCCATAATCCATCATAACTCCAGTGCTATTCCTTTATATAAGGCTTCCTCCATTTTGTCATGTCACATCAAAATCCACCAACATTGTTTTGAGCTATTTTAGACATTTCTTAATCTGTGCATATTTCTCTACTAATTCAGACGATACCACCGGAGAATTTCAGCCGGAAGCAATGGTTTGAGTTAAAAACATTGTAATGATGGATTTGTTTATTACAAACACGCAGCTTTTCACTTAATTAGATGTTAATTGATGGACTGGAGTGGTGTGGATTATTGCGATGTTTTTATCAGCTGTTTGGACCCTCATTCTGACAGCACCCATTCACTGCAGAGCATCCATTGCTGAGACACTGATGCAATGCTACATTTCTCAGATCTGTTCGGATGAAGAAACAAACTCATCTTGGGTAGCCTGAAAGCGAGTAAAGTTTTTAATTTTGGGGTTATTTTTATTATTTTTTTAATACTGTGCATTTTAATTTATTTTAAATAATTGACTTACAACTGGTTCAACCAGCAAGTTTTCTCAAAGTACTTTATTGCATGACATTGCATAAAGCATACATCCAAATCCTTTTAAGAATAATATATATATTAGGGCTGGGTGATTTGGCAAAAAATGTAAATCTCGATTTTTTTCAGAACGTTTGACCGATTCTCGATTTTTAACTAGTCAACTTGGAAAATGTAACAACAACATGATTCAAGTAACTACTTCTTTATTATCCCTGTAGTTAATGAAAATTATTTTCCAAGTGCACCACACATGGAGTTGTCAACATGTTAAACAAATCACTTGTTAAATATTTTTGCAGAAAAAATGCATTAACTACAACTACATCTTGTACAAACTTGTCTTATACATATTATATGTTCAGAAATAATACAAGGAAAATGCTTTAAAAAATCTCAAAAGTCAAGGTAATTCAAATTCAAAATGACTGAAGGTATAACACCAGTAGACTATTAACTATAACTATAAATGTTCTGTAAAAACAATGAACAGCAGCTTTCAGCCTGTCACCATAATGCACACATGAAATATCAGACATACAGTAATAGTTCTAAACAGGTTTTTTTATTGGCTTGCGCTGCTTTTCCATTGTTTTTTCTATGTAAACATGAACGCGTTTGACTGCTGCGCTCGCGCCTCTTGCAGCGTCTCATGCATGAAACGGCTTTATAAAAACGCGGCGCTCAAGTTAAAAGAAGTTCTTCAAACCCCATCTTCTTGCATGTTTTTCCTGTTCGACTGCCTGGCTGCGTCGCGTCTTTGTTAAAGGGGTCATATGATGCTTTTTTAAAGATGATTATTTTGTGTATTTGGTGTAACAGAATATGTTGACATACTTTAATGTTCAAAAAACACATTATTTTTCAAATACTGTACATTATTGTAGGTCCTCTATGCCCCGCCTCTCTCAAACGCTTAGTTTTCTACAAAGTCCCTCCTTCCAACAAGCGCAGTCTGCTCTGATTGGCCAGCTGACCCAGTGCATTGTGATTGGCCGAACACCGCAAGCACTCGTCGGAAATGTACCCTTACCATAATCTCGAGCTTCATCTTTCAAAATAAACTTCAGGGCTCTTATCTATGCACAATCAGCTTGTAACACTCCAAAGAGAAAGGAAAACTTGAAATCGCATCATATGACCCCTTTAACACAAAAGCGCATTCTGTGTGATATGAGCGTGTCACGCGAGCGGTTAATCACATGCGCCGACATGGGGTTGGACTCGTTTTCTCTTTATTGTTATCATTGGCATATTGTCAAAGTGTCTAATTTTAACATTTGGTAATATTTCTATTCAAAATCAAATGTACAAAACATTACATTTGAATTAATCGGAAAAATCGCTCAGCCCTAATAAATAAATATAATTTTTTTTTTTTACAGTGCACAAAGCATCACTGCTCTGCTATTTTGTCCTATCACCTCAATTTCTGTAATTTATGACATAATCACTAATAAAATGCGTGTTCTTTTCCAGAGTTCATTTCAGAGTGGGAATAAAGTTCTTCTTGTCACTGCTGGTGAATACATTAACAATCTCTGTGAGGAGAGAAACTCCATCGAAAAGATAAAGACAAACAGAGAGGAAAATGACATGGAAGAAGAGGCAGAGGAGGTTTTGAAATATGAGAGACTAGCGGCACGCTATCTGGACACTGGAGGTTCCCCACTCTCTGTTTTTCCAATGTCCTCTAGCTCTGTTTTGCTTATGAATCAAACTCCAGATACAAGCCTTACGTCTTCCACAGATGCTCAGAGTGGTAGTCTGATTGTGTTTGGAGGCAGCCATATCCATACTGAACCAACAGCCTCTCCTAGGCTCCCTAAAGGAGCAAGCACACTTCAGAATTTAAGTTCTGTTTTTCCCACACACGTGGAGAATGAAGACAGAGAGAGCAGTGCAGATGTAAACCTGTTTTCTGTGATGTTAAGAGGAGTTTCTGATAAAGCTGAACCTGATAAAACCTGCACTACGGAAGATGTGCAGGAATCATGTCCTCAGCACCTGTTACAGACTTGTGCTACATCCACCTGGATTTCTGATCCACAGTCCCAAAACTCTCAAAAGTCCATTCAGATGAAAGTTTTAGAGGAAGATGATGATGATGATTTAGGGTACTTAAGTCGAAATTAGATTCCTGAGGAAACGAACAGTCTTTTACATCAATTGAGACTGGAGTAGATATGGGAATCTAAAAGCACACGCAAGCATTCAAAAAATTCTGCTAATATAGAGAGATGTATTCTGTATTTGTATACTTTGATTTTTTTTGTATTTTAAGTATTTTTATTCTTATTCTTATTATCTTTCAATATGCATTTCAGTCTGATGGAGATCATGGCATACCAACATGTATTATTCTTATTTGTCTGGATGAGGAACAAGTGTTTACTGGCAGACATGTTGACCTGGCAACTTTCTTAGGGGAAACACTTTGCTCTTAGGCATTTCCAAGTGAATAAAGATGTGAATTAGATGTTTTGTTAATGAAAAATATTTCATCACTACACTGAGTTGTCATCTCAGTCCTTTGGTCATTCTTACACAATGTGAATGCAATTAATAGGGCTTTTATTTTGAAATGTAGCACCACGGGCCAGGCAGGATTTGGAAATGGATGTAATGGCATACATAGTTTTTCATCTAATGAATGAGTTTTTACTACTAAGAATATAAATGTAAAGTGCTGTAATTTGAATTCTTAATAGTAAGAAATAAACTGGAGAGCTCTCTAATTCAAATGTAATAGGAGTACTAGTAAGAATCAAATTACTGATGAGAATTTAGCTCTCTGGTGGACACAGAGCCAGCAACAGCACTATAGAGTGGAACAGTCCGTTTCTCAAAGTAAAAAAGCAGTTTCTTTTCTCCATAGGAGATTTTTAATGAACTTAAAAGTGTTGGATTAACTTCCTATTTTCACTCAATTACCACTGAAAGAAATCGGCATCTAAAATAATGTTACAGCATCTTGATCAAGTCTTGACTAATATTTGACTTCAAACTGATATCAAGGTGCCTGCTGGGATATTGTTTCTACAATCAACAACTTTAAATGGATAATTTTTAATTTGTCATTTGCAATGGTTCATGGGATTGTAGTTCTTTCCCTCATTAAAGCATCAGGCTCCCCGTTAAATAGTTAAATACACGTTTTTGGCAGGCATCCCCTGCACTCCATGGGCTAAATATCATGTTATCGGAGTCGCTTCAACCCACAGCAACAGTGTTAATGTAGCCCAAGTCCGCGGTTTTCCCAACCAGTGTAAATAACATGATATTTATCCCCTGGAATGCGAATTTTAGCAGGGCAACCCCGCCAAAAAACTTGTATTTTACCCCCCGGAACATGATTTTTAACTGTGGACCCCCTTGAAACACGATTGGGCTAGTTTTGAGTAGCAATTGGGTGGGTTTTCTTGTGAAAACCTGGCAGGTGGCAACCCTGCTGCAGCATTAGCCGTTATGCTTTTTTGGCTAAAGGTTGCAGGCTTGCCTTCCAGTGGCTTTGATTAGTATCCAAGAGTGATTATAAATTCAGCGAGGCTGTAAAAGAACTGAGTAGATGAGATTCCTGTTCTGTGTGTGATGATGTTTAATGGCCCTGGCGACGACCTCTGTAGTCTCATTTAGCCCCTTGTTAGCAACCGCCTTTTTCAAGACATTGCTGTTCCTCCCAAAACATAGCAGCGTGGTTAGACAATTTCTTGCAGATTCGCTGCAGGAAATATTATTATTTATTTTCAACTAGTTGCTGTACAGTACAGTGCATGCATAATTATTCAGCAAGTTGATATTCTGATCAAACCACAATTCCATGCCACATTAATAACTACTGTTAATTTTGTTTATTTTCAGCGTGTTAAATCTCATTTTGGCCCATTTTATCTGTAAAAGAAAACATATAAGGCATTTTTCACTTCCATCCCTCATTAACAATTACTTATAAATGATTATATACTAAATTAATAAAGTGTGATGTTGTTTCAAATCTACCTTGTGTGCCATCATAGTACAATTAGTCTCAAGCATAGTCAGGGATGCAGTTTGGAAAATGGGATGTGGTTTATAGAAATCCTTACTCCACAAGAGAGAGAAAGACAAGAAATTGTGGCCTAAGGTGGAAGAAGCCTGTGCAGCTAGAAAAGCTGCATACTACCTGGGTGCTTATGCTTACATTACTACATTAACGGTGTTAAGATTCATTTGCATGTGTCTGCTATAAGATGAAAAATCTATGGACAAAAACCCTCTCTACAAACAAAGTTCCTGTTTGTGGCCGAAATTTGCAGCCTGTATGAACTAAATTCCAGACTACCAACTATGTTCACGTCAACAGATGATGCTTCTGTATTGTAAATAAAATTACTGTCTTTTGGTATAATTGTATACTTACATGAGATGACAGATATTTGGAGACAATCCAAATAATTAAAAAAATGATTTGAAGTTATGCAGTTTTTAAAATATGGACAAACTATGGCAGATTTACAAAATAAGCTAGTTCACATCTAAAGGTGAAAAGCTGAATGAGCCTTTGTAAGGTCAAGGAAAAGATGGAGAATACCTTCCTACATTTTTAGATAAAAATCAGGCTACTTTAAATAGAGTATTCATCAAGAAAAACTTAAAGGGGTCATATGATGTTGCTAAAAAGAACATTATTTTGTGTATTTGGTATAATGAAATGTGTTTATGTGGTTTAAGGTTCAAAAAACATTATTTTCCACATACTGTACATTATTGTTGCTCCTCTATGCCCTGTCTTTCTGAAATGTGTCGATTTTTACAAAACTCATTGTTCTGAAAAGCGAGGTGTGCTGTGATTGGCCAGCTATCCAGTGCGTTGTGATTGGCCGAATACCTCAAGCGTGTGACGGAAATGTTATACCCCTACCATATGTCCCAGCGTGATGAGACAAAAACATTAAAACCCATTATAAGCGAGGTATTTGTTGCATCCAGTGGGGACATAATTACTGATTATAATGACTTATACTGTCTTTTTACGCGTTGCATTGCGCCGCGTAAACAAAACCATGTCTGCATTTGTGATCGGAGAAACTACAAACAAGCGCTACTCTTCACTGCCCAAAACTCGCGTTTGAATCATCAGTGGCAAATTCTTTAAATATGAAAAACGTACTTACAGTGTACTTACACATAAAATGTGCTGCACACATCTGAATATTTGGGTTGAAGTGTTCTGGAACAGTGTTGTAAATACAACTTAACCACTGATTTCTAGTCGTGTCCTCTTTTGGAAGGCCAAACAAAGTAGTTTCGCTTTCACAACGAAACACACGGCAACAAAAATACTACAGCGAGAATAAAAGTTAGCCTTCTTTCTTTGCGTGAACATTTGGGCGGCGTTATGCAAATCTTGAGTTTAGTTTAAAAGAGTTTAGTCAGTGCACTTTAAAAACATGTCTGTCCAATATTGTTGCTACCCCATTTTGGTCTGGAAACAACATGGTGGAAAACTAGAGACAGATTGTCTGCGATGGACATGCTTTTGTTTTGAATTTTTGTGAAGGGAAACTTTGGTTGTTATAAACAGCATAAAATAGCTCCCCGTTACAGAAACTTTATTTTTTGCAAGAAAGAGATGCAAAACTATTGCTTGTTCACTATTGCTGCCAAACCGAGGCGGCTACAGCGGTCAATTGCGCTAAATTAAGCAGTGCCAATACGGCATTTATTGTTTTAATTGTGTTATACAATTGACAGAATTTGAAAGCTGGGACTTTGTAACAAAGCTAATGTTTAGTGTATCATTTTGTTCATACATCAACTGAAAAACAGCATATATTAAAAAAATAATCTTGGGATTTAAGAATCAATATCGGTTCATCAAAATGAAGACTGAATAAATACAAACAAAAACATTGTCAGTCCAGCCCTAGATGACATGACATTTTGTTTTCACAGAATAGTTTAAGGTGGCAAAATAAATTATCAATAATCATTGACTATGATACCGTATTACTACAGTCTCATTTCAGCAAGCAAGGGCTTCTGTTCTGTTGTGATGATCATTTCAGATTTCTCCTCACTGCTCTGTTTTACATCGGCTCCTATACAAAACTCATTCTTATGTGTCTGAATCCTGATTGGTCCTTCTATCTGCTGATTGTCCTGAGAGCTGTTTAGCTCCTTGTGCAATATCCTTAGCTCACAAAAGTGCTCCTTCAATGGCGTGCTCTCCTGCATGGCCGAAAGTATTGAAGACTGTTGTGACCAAAACTTTAAGAGAACAGCCAGAGATAAAGTCAGTAACAGAAAACAGCTCATTATGCTTTACCTCTCTTGTTCTTTCATTACTTTTTTTAGGTCCTCTGGCAGGTCAGCATCAGGGAAAATAATTCTGCATCCTCTGTAGCGCCAAACCACACAGCCAGAAAGATCAGGACAACAGCGACTAACACCACCAGAAAACTGACCAGGAGCACAACTGCTATAAGCCAGGACTCTACTTCATCTGAGCAGACAGATAAAACGGAACAATACAGGATGTTGAGATTAAAGGTTAAATCATCACAATAAAACATTCAGTAAATGTGTGCGACACCACAAACATAAATATATAAACATGCAGCATTTACAGTACAAATACAAACTGGTTTGCTTACTGCTGGAGGTGTTGGTTAAACAGGTGAAGTTGCTGGTCTGACCAGCAGTAGTTTACAAGAGGCTCCAGTCTTGGTAACATAACTCTGTTCTGCTCTCTTATTAGTTCTTCCTGATGAGAATAAAAACAAAGACACATTAAGCATGAAATGTCCTGACGATGTGAAGGACATAATCAAAATAAATGTTTGCTTTTGAAGGGAGATGTGTGTTCAGATTGGAAACTGCAGCAGGAGCTTCACAGAATGGGTTTCCATGGCTGAGCAGTTGCAAGCAAGCCTCACATCACCAAGAACAATGTCAAGAGTCAGCTGGAGTAGTGTTAAGCAAACTGACATTGGACTCTGGGAAGATAAATCATGATTGATGGGAAATTCTGGGTTTGGCAGATGCCAGAGAACCTTACCTGCCTGAATGCATCGAGTAGTTTGGTCAGGGAGGGATAATATTATGGGGCCGATCATAATCGCAGATGAATCGCCTTTCGATTATGAATGCGATATGGCATAGCTTGTCAGTGATCTACAGCTCTGTATATTAAATGCCACTCCATCTGATAGCAGGCGATGGCGATTTACTACTAATCACAGAACCGGCTTTACTGACGAGATGCGCATGACAATCACATGTGATTTATCGTGCAGCCCTATTTTCAGGGGTTGGGCTCAGCCGCTTACTTCCAGTGAAGGGAAATCTTCATGCTTCAGCATACCAAGACATTTTGGACAATGCTATGCCTCAACATTTGTGGGGACAGATTGAGGAAGGCCCTTTCCTATTCCAGTGCACAAAGCAAAGTCCATAAAGACATAGTTGGATGAGTTTGGAATGGAAGAACTCCACAACCCCATCAAACATTTTTGGTATAAACTGGAACAGAGATTGTGAGCCAGGCCTTCTTGTTCAAAAGCTTGAACTCACAAATGCTCTACTGGATAAACGGGAAAAAATTCCCACAGAAAAACTACAAAATCTTGTGGAAAGCCTTCCCAGAAGAGTGGAAGCTGCTGTTGGTGTCCCTGTCCCTGTAGTAGTCAGATGTCCCAATAAGGTCCCTAAAACAACCTTCTAGTCTAGGGCAAAGTCATTGTGTACATTAGCAAAGACTTGGGACAAATATAATGTAATTTAATGGAAAAACTGTTTGAATGGCACTATTGTGGCATGGTAGGATTTTAAACAGTCTTTAGAGTCATAGCACCACAGACAGGAGGCAAGTGGTGCCAGCGGTGTGCGTACACCAGTGTGGCTTCAATACACTGAATTCATATGAATTGACTGTCCTGCGGAGGAGAAGAATTGTTGAAAAAAATTATATTAGCTTTTTTGCGCACAAAAAGTATTCTCTTAGCTTTGTAAAATTATGGTTGAACCACTGATGTCACATGGACTGTTTTACCAATGTATTTCCTACATTTCTTGTTCTAGGAACACTTCAGTTAAAAATATCTTAATTTATGTTCTGAAGATGAACGAAGGTCTTTTGGGTTTGGAACGACATGATGGTGAGTAATCAATGACTGAAGTTTCATTTTTGGGTGAACTATCCCTTTAACACTGTGTTGTTACCTGGATGATCCACTTTTTATTTTTATTTTTTATGAGTCCCTTGATTGTCCTGAACACTTTTAAAAGACCCACTGTTTTCTAGCATTTTCTGCATATTTTAATCTTGTGAGGACAGTTGAGGGACTCATAATCAACTGTTACAAAACATGAAAAGGTGATCACGAGGAGAAAAGACTCATAAAGAGCAGTAGGGTGTAAACTTTAGGAATGATGATCTTTGAATTTTTCTTAATTTTGTTTAGAGCTCACATTTTTTTCTTTTAGTACTGCTTTTTTTTCCATTTAGCACTCCACAAGAGCTAATTACATGATAGAAGATAATGTTTCCCAGAAGACACCATACAATTCAAAACATTTAAATTACAATGTTCCATTTGTTCCATATTTCAGTAGTCCCTTTAAAGTTTTTATATCTAACCATACAATGTAAATTATTTTCTGCAGCAGCTCACTCGGTGTCCTCCAGTATTTTTCAGATGTGTTTAATCCATAGAACTTTGTTATTACTGTGAAGTGATGTGACTGGTGGATGTTAAAGACTTCGAGTTAAATTTAACAAGCATAGACACACATGTAGACTATA